GAATAATTTAAATAAGAAAATAGAATAATTTAAATAAGAAAATAGAAAAGAAATCAGTAGATACTGGAAAAGCCAACTCAGAATGAAAATGCATCAGCTCAGTTGCACGCGCTAATTGTTCTACATTAGTCAGGCTTCTAATGTTGCTGGCAACATGAAACAAATAAAAAAATATTTGGAACATTCGCAAAAATCCCAAGCAGTGCCTTAATCTGTATGGATGTTAGACCAACTGGTTACCACAAAAGCTAACTGCTTTGCACTCTCTGCAGAGAGACATTTCCTATCTCCTTCCTGAATATCCAGGGAGCGTTTACTCCTCCCTCTCAGTTACTGAAGGGGAAAAGAGTTGAAGGAAACCCAGAGAACCAAGAGATAATGAAAAGCTGTTGAGTTATGCTGCCTTGGACTATGCCAACTGCAAAAGCTGGCGTAAAGCCTCTGGCAAGATGAGCAGGCAGGAAGGTAAACCACAGTGTAGCCAATAAAAGCTAACTTGTTTGTTAACGCTTCTAGTTAATCTCAAAATATTTTTCTATATTCAGGTTTACTAATTCTTAAAAATATGATGGGATTTCTCATTCCACTGGTGGTCAGAACGCAACGCACTTAGTTGAACTTAGTTGAATAGCAATAATAATACACTGTTGGGGAAGTAACTCTTTCAAGGAAAGAGTGAATAATGGAAGAAAGGAGCTTTCCAACTCAGTACTGTGTCTCTACAACGTGGGTACTTGGCAACTCTGGAAATAGCTATAGAATGGGATGCTATTTTCAGCAGCACAGTTAACTGACTTACCATAATATAGGAAGCATTGATGTAGTCTGTGCCTTCACCAGACAGTGATGAGATGCCCACTCTAGATCTTTCCACTGTAAAAAAAAAAAGTTATGAATTAGCATGCATGTTGTATTGCCTGTATTGCATGTATTTTTGTATTACAGTAATTATTCCAAATGTCTCACAGAATGATAACAAAACTAGACTCCATCTATCAGGATGAAGTGTTATTCAGACATCTATTCAATTGTTGTATGTGTTGTATTTGGACAAACCATTTTTTCATTAAAAGTACTTTACAAAACATTGTTCCATACCAATGCAGGCATCTTCAGATCTCACTAAGGAAATGTTAAAGATTTGGCACACACTGTTCATAAACATTTTTCCACCCAGAGAAACCAATTTGAACAAGCTTACCAGGAATGATGGATGAAGTTCGATTCTTTTCCCTGTTACACTGTTTGAGTGCAGTTGAATAATCACACTGCTGTGTGTTAGACTGGCTCAGTAACTGGAACAATGAAGTTAAAAAATCAGGTCATTGTGCAAAAGCCATTATTCCATCAGCTGCATTAAATAGAGGGATGCACCTATTAACTTCAGAATCTAGTTATCTGGCTAAACTACTTAGCAAATTACCAGAACCTTTTCTCTTCACTTTTTTTTTTCCCCACTGGATTAAAGGTGCCAACATGCTTATGGAAATGCCTCTTCAAATTGTTCCCACATCCTGACCCCCTACTTCTTGTTGCCACTCCATTGTCATTTCTGTTTTGCCTGCATACAACATTAAATAATTCTGGCAAACAGTAAACGACCACACAAAAAAGTGGGCACTGTTACACAGCCAGTGCTGCCCCTGATGTGAGGCAGCCTGAGGCATACTGGTCATGAGCTTCCTGGTTTTGTCTTGAAACCTGTGAAGCATATAGGACTGATACGGAAGTCTCATTGTCTTGCTTGTTTCAACTAATAGCAGTCAAACAGACAAAACACCAAAATATTCATTTACTGCCTGCTGAAGTACTCCCATTTTCAAGCCATAGCCTTACTGAGGCTATTCCACTGAGGGGAATATGTTGCCTGAGCCATATAGACCACACCATTTTTACCAGAATAGGGATCTTCATGCAAAGATGTGGTTAGATTTTCTAAAATTTCCTTACTGGCCTGCTCCTCATACTCTAATTTTTAGAAAAAAAATCTGAAGTGCATGCAAATAACTTTTATGTTCTAACTGGCTACGTGAATTTGTCAACATGCTCCAAATTTAGGCTTTACAGTTAATTATAGATATGAAAAGCTAATGAATATTGTGCTGATACACCTACTTTCAAGTCACTGACGCTCAGAATTACCAAGCTTTTTATGTGACTGCCTCAGCTCACCTTGAATTGCTTCTCCAGCCGGGTCTTTCCTGTCGGTCCAGGTATCAAGAGTGCATTAACATAGGCGTGAATATGAGTCTCAAGGACTTCTGTTTCTTTACTGAGAATTGCTTCAACCAGTGCATCGTGAATGAAGATGTATTGCTCCTACGAAAATGAAAGCAAGCGCATAAGTGCCAATTATGCTCAGATTCCCCTGGACATCTCTTGCTGAGCTGACGTGTCTGACATGGTTGGCATTTCTTCACAGCTTGCTGCTGCAGGGCAGTCTTCTCAAAAGGGGTCCTTCGCAGTGAAAGCTGTTCCTCTCCAGGGGCAGTACACATTTACAAGTGATATTGAACTGCACACAAGGTATATACGGTACAGTGCCAAATCCCCACCACCTGCGAAACGTTACATTCACATATACGTTCATGTTTAACTCAATAAAGTAAAAAATGCAAGCATCGCCTGAAGTCACATTTTCAAGTCAGCTTGTTATGTGGCTCTCCCTCTCATTGTTACAATAAAGCAATCACTCCCAGTTCCTACTGCTATCTTCTATTTTCTCTCTCTCGTCCTTTGGAAGAAGTGCCCATGCTGCTGTTGATTACCTTTTTTTTTTTTGCTATTGAAAGGCACTGGGGAATCTAAACACCTGTTCCTGAAACCTGAAATAGACTTCGAAAAGCCCTGCTGTTGCCCTTACTGTTTTCTTCTCATCTTTCACTATTCTATATATAATATTCAGTTTAAATCAGCCATAGATCATCTTTGGTTGAAACTACTTTCTTCCAACTTATTACTGTTCAATTGTTTGGTCACATTTAGTAAAGATCTGAGCATGTGAAAATGGTGTTTCCTTTAAAAATCCACAACAAAAATGCATGCCCTGCCAAGAAAGTGCTGCAGTGGGAAGCCTGATTTATGCAGGTCTTCTTTCTTCCGAGTCCTCCCTAATAAACTGGCAAGGCCTACAGATAGGTCATGTCTAAGTGCATTGCACCAAGTGAGCCTACAGTATGGCACTATAAAAATAAGGGAAGTGAAGGGGACAGTCCAGTCTGCCGACTGTCTGCCTGTCTGTCTGGCAGTGCCAAAATGAAGACTGTATTCACAGAAATGTGAAAATTGCTAAGTCTCATTAAACAGATATTTGTCTTACCTCAGTCTGCACCAAATAGTTCCTTTGGGTACGTATGTGTTTTAAGAATCCAAATATGTTGACTGTCCCCTCATGCTGAATTTGCTGCAGCATGCTGTCTAACACTATGTAAGTGCCTGTCCTTCCAACACCAGCGCTATAAAACAAAAAAACATTCTTGAGCCTGCAGTACAACAGTCATGGAAAGAATTGTTTCTTATAAATAGCTTTTTCAACAAATCGGTCTATAGGGAAGCTTTGGCTCTACAAATTTTATTATTGCATTATTACATTACTTTGCTGAAGCACCAAGGCCAGTAATGAAGAAAAATCTTCCCAACTCATCTTTTTCTTTGTGAGGAAATGGATCTAAGGGTCATTTTCTTGAATGACGTTTACAGCATCAATTGAAAAAGAACAGTGTGGTTTCCTGCAGGTCTACAGTTTTCAGCCTTTTGATTCTCCTTAGGATATTTTGTCAATTATACCTACAAGTATGGCATATGTCAGCATTTGGGCACAGTCAATGTGCTCAAGCTCTTCTATGTTGAAATGTACACCACTTTAAAGGGAAAGCTGCATTATGCCACCCGTTACAGATGCTGCCTGAGGACCTTTCAAAGACTGATCTGAGTGAAATCCTTGGAAGTCGCAGAGCCACTGAAGGTACATCCATAGAAAAAAAAATTAGTACTCTTCAGATGTGGCCAACAGGGCAAGCAGCGGTTGAGTCCCTCCTGGCAGAGGGGAGATGCAGAAGAAAAGGTTCATCAGATGTTAGGAACTCTGACTCATTTAACATAACAATGGCTGTATTGTTGCGGTGGGTTGTTTTTTTTTTTCATGAAACATCTGGGTCAGGAGTACTAAGTCAAAAGGTCTTCTTTTTGTTTTGTTTTCTTGTCACACATAGGAATTAGGCAATTGCAATTGCCCTCTCAGTGATGTAGAGCTGTTACGTGTACTGGTACACGGCAGCAACACATGCTGGGCATGCATGGCAGCTTGCAGGCAGATGCAAGCCCAGTCCATATGTTCTAACTCAGTCACCCTATTTATTCCTCAGAGACAGCACAAAGCATGGGTGGCATGAGCTCTGTTTGCTGTAAAAAAACTGCCTAAATAAGCATGGTATAAAATTGAAAGGCTCAGGTTATCAACAAACTGGTAGACACACCAAAAAATATAAGGATTACCAGACACCATTGCTATTTGTTATGAAAGAGAAAACATGAAAAGTACCAAAACACAAAAATAGCTAAGTAAGGTTTCATGTAGTTCCTCACATGTGTGCTCCACACAGCCTGTAAAGATAAGTAGAAGTTAAATTTCTAACACGATTCTCCTTTGGAATGCCATAGCTGCTGGTAACAAGTGAACTCAAAGTTGTACAGAATTGCCTACAGACAGAGGTGAATTATACTTGGGACCCAATGGAGATGTCTGAATGAAGCCACACCACTGACCCCTGTTCACTTCTGAAAAACACAGTGCGATTGATTTATAATTTACTGCTGATCTCTCAGCCTGGCACAGATCTCAGCCTTGGTGTTTTGGGGAAACCCTTGTTTTGAACTCCTTGAGAACAGACAGGATGCAGACAGCAACAGAACAACCAAAATGTAGAATTTTCATTTTCTAAGCTAAAAAGATATTTTAGTCACATTAGATCATCCCAGAAATAAAATATCTTCATTTTCAGCATTTGTGAGGTGACTTTACCTGTTGGCTTCCTCAGAGTCAGCTCCAGAAGGACAGAATTCATGAGGAGGTTCTCTTTCCAAATGTTCCATCAAAGGTGAGGTACTACAGTGGAAAACCAGAACCTGCTTATATATTTTACAATAACCCGGTCCTCCACGGGCATTGTGAAGTCATTCCAGGCCCTACAAGCCCTTTTAAAGCACTGTTCCCTGGGCTGCCCAGTTCAGTGAGTGCTGACAGAACACCTGCCTGCACGCTGTGGCACATGCAGACCTCACACCACTCCCCAGAGCGTTCCTCCATTGCAAATGACTGCTAGAGAGCAGAGCAATGTTAACAGCAGCAGAGTTGTAGTTCAGCCAGGAAGAGTGTGAGTCTTGTTTTGTGTACAGAGCTCCTCTTAGGGTTACAGAGTATCCCTGCACCAAAGAATGCATGAGCCAAACACATCCTAAGGATATATATTGGTGGAAAGGAAGCAATTACTGCTTTACACGTATCTGATATGCTCATAGCAATCAAAACAGTGGTAAAGAAATGTGCTAAAAAGTAAAAAAGGAAAGTATTTTTGCAAAAAAAAAATAAAAAAAAAGAGAACGTAGTGCAGAGCAGCATGATCTTGTTTACAGCCATTATGGAGGCGTATAGAAATTGTACAGAGAGTTGATTAGTTGGCCTTACCAAGACAGAAGTACCAGCTAAGAAATTAATCTTCTTCCATCAGGACTTGTTAAGTGTGAGCGTGAAATTATGCTTAACCCACCACTGAAAAATTCTTTTTTGTCTGCAGAAGAAAAGTGGAGTGAACCTTACAGCGGTAAAAGCACACCTGCAATGAACCACAACCGGCCCCACAGCATGGCGCTTGGCATGCGATGCCTTCCGCACGAAGGTGAGCACGGGCAGCGTGTACTCTGGAACACCCATGTCAGGCCACTGGGTATAATGGTACTGAGTTACTACACGTCCACTAGACCTCCCTTTCTGGGAACCCTGCAACAGAAAGATAATTCCATACAGAAGCAGCCCACATTGCAAAGACAAGTCTTTGTAATTCTACTTATGTATTCGATGTTTCCTGAAAACTATCTCTATTTAGTTAACACACCAAAGTACTACCTAGCTCTGAATATTCCATTGCTCAAGGGAAATAGCAAGGACCAGCATTTCCGTCTCATCAATTTGTTCATTGAATGGAAAAAATGAACTGTCACTCACCGTCCCTTAGAAAGACACAGTGAAAGGCTGAGAACACTGGAAAGGTAATAAATTACAACTGCTATTAGTATTCACCAAATTATCTGCCACTCATATTCTCTGCCAGGTGGGTAGCAAGGATATGATTCATTTCACCCAGAGTTAATGATGTATAGGGGAAGTAAGCTCATTTGGGATGCTTTTCTAAGCCCATTGCTTCATTGGCAACTCAAAGATGGTGTTACCTCATCCAAACCAAGTCATCTTATCCAAAGCAAGTTATCTTATCTGAAGAGAGATTCCTAAAATAGCTGGGAAAACTACTTGACAATAGATGCTGTGTGTTATTCATTAATTGTACAGGGAGGCTGAGGGACTAGACATTTAAGATTTAGGTGGCTGAAATGAAATAAGTTTTAAGAACTTCCCTCAAAGTAGGCAAATCCTTTTGTAGCCATTCCCTTTTGCCCAAATTATATTTCCAGGATGCCATTGCTGAGCATGCTGTTTCTGATTTCAGTAAGGCAAGGTTTGGATTCATCTGTTTTGTAGACAAAACTTACTTTCTTAAAAAGGAAAATTGATAGCTGAGGTTGATGATTTAATTCAACCCACATTTTCTACTACCTGATCTCATTCTGAAAATTTGTCCTCCTGCTCACCAGTCAAAGTCCATGTTGGCTCTGCAGTGTGAGATCACATCCTTCTCTGATGGTCATACACCACATTAGAACTACAGGCCAGTACCTCACAGTACCACAGAATGGCTGAAGATGGAAGAGACCTCTGGACATCATCTCCAAATCCTGCTCAGACAAGAACATTCAGAGCAGGTTGCCCAGGGCCACATCCAGATGGCTTCTGAAGATCTCCAAGGAGGAGCCTCAATGACCTCTGGGCAACCTGTGCCAATGCTCTGTCACCTGCACAGTAAAGAAATGCTTCCTGATGTCTAGATGGAACTGCTTGTGTTACAATTTGTGCCCACTGCCTCTTGTCCTGTCCCTTGGTACGACTGAAAAGAGCCTGGCTCCATCCTCTTTACATCCTCCCTTCAGGTATTTATACAAGCTGATGAAATCCCACTGAGCCTTCTATTCTTCAGGCTGAACAGTCCCAGCTCTCTCAGCCTCTTCTCACAGACTCTTCCCAGTGTGTTCACACTGAGAATTGGACCATCACTCCAGGTAAGATCTCATCAGTGCTGAATAGAGGGGAAGGATGACCTCTGTGGATGTGTTAGAGATACTTTGCCTAATACAGCCAAAAATGTCACTAGCTTTTTTTAGCAACAAGGGCTCATTGCTGACTCATGTACAACTTGGTCTCCTCTTTTATGTTATGCTGCCTGCCTCCTCAACTCAACTCCTCAGGTGCAGGCTTCTGCCTTTCTCCTTGTTGAACTTCATGAGATTTTTTGTCAACCCTCCTCTCCAGCCTGTCCAAGTCCTTCTGGATGGCTGCACAGCCCACTGGTGAGTCAGCCATTCCCTTTAGTTTCATGTCATCTGCAAATCTGCAAATTTAATGAGAATGTACTCTACCCCATCATCCAGATCATTAACGAAGGTGTTAAACACGACTGGACTCAGTATTGACCTCACTCATTACTGGCATCCAACTAAACTTTGTACCACTATCTCCTCCTTTAGCTGAACTCATCTCTGAAGTATCTGGACAAGTATCTTGGCTGCCTGAGACCTACAGGATTCAGTTTTACCTAAACAAAAGAAAACATCCAACAACTTCCTTGAAAATACTATGAGAAAATTTTACGACTTCTTTTTGCCTAACCTACATTTTCATGACGTCACAAACCTTTTTGATCTTTGTGTTCCTAAGAGTAAAATTCCTCACAGTGTAATAGGCAAGTACATGGACACTCTTCTGAGTAACCAAGAAGTTCCCGTATTCTTCACTACCTTCAGCAGGCCAGTACTGGTCACACTTTCTCTGTTAGAAATCAAAGGAGAAGCAGAGAAAGAAAGAAAAATGTCAAACGATCAAAATTCAAACATTGAAATTTATGAGCACAGCCCACCACAAAAACATGCAGGAACTCCCAATATACCACACATATAATAAACATAATGCTCAAAAGAGAAAAAAATTAGGTGCATTTCTTTTGTGTTGTTGAGTTCTGACTATGCAAAAATGGTATTTATACTTCAAAAACCAGAGAAGTTTAAATTATATTATCAGAGCAAAAGTACTCTTATACTGCGGAGCTTGCCATAGTACAGGCACTATAAAATCTAAAGACAATAACAGGTAATCTATAGAAATAGGAATACATTCAAGTTAGTAGTGTCATATGTGCCTTTTGGTTGATTCATAGCATGGGTAGATAAAAGTGAGCATGTGTGTGTGTGACAGGAATATATAATACAGAGCTGTGATGCCCAGTCCTCCTTCTCTAGAAGTACTAGAACATACATGTTTCCAGTGTGGTGTTGTATATAAAGTGGTAGTAACTCAGCACAGCCCTTTGTCTGCATCTACAGTACCTGTACCCTTTGTTAGATGCTTAGTCAGTCACATGAGAAGAACTTGAATGCATTTTAGGCATCTCTGTCAGTATGTGGTAAAAGTAATACAGTGTCTCTTCATTTCACACGTACATTGCACATGCGTACTCCCATCATGCAACATCCTCTGATAGGAGCTGACTTGGATAGACGTGCATTTGGTCCTACACTTGGAGAGGATCCCATGGGAGATTAACAGGGAGATGCCAATAAGTGTAATGAAAAATTCTCATGAACTATAGCCTTCTCCTTTCCAGAGTCAAAAGAACAGAGTGGAACACAGCCCAAAGCTCACGCTATGGCCACTCCAGAATATAAGGCTTTTTTCAATATAAGACAGTTGTTTTTTTTTTTTTTTTTTCTTTTTTTTTTTTTTTTTTTTTTTTTTTGTTGTTAGAACATTCCTTTAAAAACCACAGTTGTTTGCAATTGAGTTTAAATGCTCTCTTTATACTCATCTTTATACTTCCATACTTCCATAACCAACCCTAGTACAAGCAACTACTGCAAACTATTTCTTTTTGCTCAAAAATGTCTAAAACAGATTTCTGAAAGAGAGAAAGGAGCCTGCTAGAGGTAGATCTATCAACATCAGAGAGAGAAATAATGGACAAAAGTACTCATACCCTTCCTTTCTCAAGGAGATTAGTTATCATCACAATAACTTCTACGTTATGTTCCCATATCATTCTCCAGAAATCTTCTGCTGTTGATTTTAGTGGCCCTTGAGCTGCAATGTAGGCTTTTGGCTTGTTGTAGCCCTAAATTGAAATGTAACAAATGACACTTGTCAAATCACAGTCCCCAAGCAAAAGGAGGTTGGGAGGAGTACATGACATTTCATTTATCTATTTTTAAAGAATCTCGAAAGCTTTAAAGTACTTTTGAATTTATAACTATCAAAATCACAGAAAGCCTGCGGTACCAGATGACATCTGAATGCAACTGTTATGTCAATATTTATCATTCCGACAAACGGGATATATATTCAAGTGCCCATGTTCTAGCAGAATGTTGACATGATAGTGATTATGAGACATCTGTTATGACAGTGGTTTAAGAAATGAATCAAGATCATTCGCATGTAAATTACTGGGTAATGAAAACTGAAGAAATGATATCTCAATGAGGCTCACAGCCAACTGGCATCTTCCCCTTGTGAGATTATCTCAGACAGAAGAATTAACCACTTACCAAAAATACATAAAAGAATAAACATTCAGATGTGAAATGTTTCTGAAATGACTCTGATGTGTTTGAACATTTTTTAGTTTCATAAAGCTCTTCACTAAGCTACAGCTGCTGCAACATCAAGATGGGTTCGAGAAAGAAATGGGCTTTACCTCTAATCGCATTTTAAGTTTATACATTTAACTTAGATAATTAAAGTGTTATGGTATTTTTTAATATTGTGATTTTTTAAACTTATATCTGTTCACCTCCATACACCGCAATTCACTGAACAGGCTGATTGGTGGATGAGCTGTCAGACAGAAAAAGGGCACTTACATCAACATAGTTGGCATTAATGTAATCAGTCAGTTTTCCATCCTTCTCTGCAAGCTGTGCTAGTTTAACCCTGGTATGATCATCTGTAGTAAGACAAGGGAGAAAACAAGCAAATTTTCTTCCCAGAATCCCAGAATCACAGAATCACCAAAATTGGAAAAGACCTCCAGTCCAACTGTCCACCTATCACCAATACCATAATCGTTCTGTAGGAAATCTTTTTTAAAAATACCAAAATATATTTTTATAATATATATGAATAATAAAGTGACATCACATATGTAAACATCCTGTGCTTAGCCAGGAATCAGATTAAAAATTCTAGATAAAAGAAAAATAAGTTAAAGAATCTAAGGACTAGTGTATTTGGAAATTCCGAAATTTATTTCAGAAGTAAATTGAAACATATTTGTAAGAAAGGAAGAAACATGATCAATTTTCCATAGAAAAATGCATTTTTGAAGTTCTTGGAAGCAGAACACGTTCAAGTGACAAAAAGCTCTTGTGAAAAACAATCCTACTGAAAAGGAATTAAAAGCTGAAAGTATAAAGTGATCTTACACTAACTGTGCAGTGGTGAAATATAAAGTAAAACTAAAATTAAAAATCAGGTATCCAGTTGTGTGGGAATGTACACATTGTACAGTGACAGTGAAGGGAAACCTATTCAGCAGTCCTGTGCATCAGCCTGGCTGTCCTAAGGGTCCCAAACAATTACATGCACTAGTATTTAAGCACATTCATTGCAAATTAAGGAGTGCAGAGCTTGGAGACTGGAGAGCAATGGAAACCTGGAGAGTTGGTCATCCAATGAGACTCAGCTCTGGTTATTTAGGCAGCAAGTGACTAAATCACTTGTGAGCTAAAACCTTCTGAAGTTTCCATTCGTTAGGTGGACTGGAGGCCTGATTCAGTCACACATGGCAATTTTTGTTCTTTGAGCTAAGAACTATAGCAGAATCTGCTCTGTCCTTTGGATTGGCATCCCTTGTATCCTTTGCATGGTCAGGTACCAAAACAGAGTGTCAGAGGAAAAAAAAAGACTTTCCTTTTTTCTAGGGGTGTCTTCAGCCAGGTGGAATTGGATTTCTTGCAGCTGGTGCAGAGCTCACATTGCCTCTTGCCAAACGGGCTGACTGTGTCTCTTTTTTTTCTATAAAGCTTTGGTGTCACTGAATGTATTTAATTTAGGGCCTTGTTATCAGGAGTTGAAATGCTATACAGAATTAAGCCACTGTAAGAAATGAGTCCCTTGGGACTGTTAATGTGAGCCTAGACAATGTCCCGAGAGACAATTATGTCATAGGAAAGAGCCTGGTGTCCCTTCTCTTAATCTGATTGATGTCTCAACCACTCCTGGAATAGTACAGAACAATGCCTGCAAAACAGTCAAGTGATGGGAGGGGGCCTGCTGTCAGTTCCTTTGGTTTGGCTGGTGTCTGGTGCCTCAAACAATCCTGAAACTGGGCCAACTACAACTATTAATAGGATCTAGGGGAGACTGTCCCTTCTCCTTTTCCTTTGATGCTATATATAAATAAGAGCTGGGGGAGGGGAAGGGGGGGGGATGGGCAGTCCCTCTTTTTTGCTGTTGCTCCCACTTCTCGCTGCTGCTGCTCCCCTTTTCTTTGTTGCATGCCACGTGGAACATCCCAGTGCAGGCCTGGCACTGGATCTAGAACTGCTGATCTATTAGTTTTTACATTGCTTGCTAGTTTTGCTCTCTAGCAGTCATTTGCAATGGAGAAACATTCTGCTGATCCTTTCCCCCTTCAGATTTCTTCTCTTTATCTTTTGCTCTTTTTCTTAAAGTTGTTAACTCAAGGTTTACTTGAATTTTCTATAAAACCATGCAGCTTAGGTAGATGTAATTGTGGAAGGGCCAACTCATAGAGGATATCTGATTTATAGAAATCTCCTATTGAAGTTGATGTTTTTTTCTCTTATGCACAGACCTTGAGTGTTCTTTCACCTTCTTTTATCCAGGGGGACAGCCACCAAAATGATCAAGAGCCAGGGGTGATGGCTTCACATAGAGATGAACAAAGTAGAATAGATGTATTTTCAGAGAAGACAACTCTGAGATACTGAAGCAAAGCAATGTAAAAACTAATAGATCAGCTAATGAAGCTGATCTACTATATTGTGGTTGGGAAAAATACAACATAAAATAGTAAATTTATATTTCCATATGTCAGTAAATATATCCAGAGATTATGAAGCTCCTGAGAGGAAAAATCATCACTATTATAAATCAAAGATGGATTAATTTTGGCAATCAAAACACAGCTTCTTTGGCTTTGTAATGATATTATACTGGAATCTTCCAACTCCCCTTGGTTCATCAAAGAAGAAATAAACATGTCCTGCTAACGAGTGCTCATCAAAGCAGTAGGATGTCAGAAGGCTAACTGGAAGTGAAATATGATATTCATGATACTCCTCTCTGGGCATTTTGCTGAACAGTATCCGGAGTTTTCACTGTAGAGGTATTTTTTCCTCCTCTGGTAACATACCTAAATCTATAATTGACTATAATTGTTTCTTAAACAAAGCTTCAAGTGATTCATTTACTTACAAGCAACAATGTTTATGTATCGATTCTTATTCTTGTTGTCAGGGTGATTAGAGCTGTCTGACGTAATACCTAGATCTACAGTACAGCTCTGGATTTCCTGAAAAAATAAAGTGCATCATACTTAAATAAGTACTAAGGTAAATAAAATGTCTTAAAATACAGTCAGTCATCATGAAAAAACCACAACCTTCTACCCAATTAGCTATAATATTTTACAACTACTTCATTGCTAGAAAAATATGCAGTGAAATAATTCCTTACCTGATAAAACTCTTTCAGTGTCTAATGAGGGAATGAATGCAAAAAAAGTAAAAAAAATCAAATTCCATGGCACAGAACAAATGGATAAAAGTGTTTATATAAGTTACAATTATTATATGGAAAACAATTATGGTCATGCATTATCATTATCACCATAATATCAACAGTGCTTAAAATAGTCAAGAGACAATTTTATTAAGATATGGGCATCTGTTTTCCTATCTTTAGCTTTAACGTTAGACCTTACTCCAGTGAAAGATTATATATATGAGAAACATCACTGACTGTAGTCAGATTATCTTTGTATTTTACTGTCCATAGGATTTCTTATTGGTCCTTGTGACCACAGTAGTTTTTCCTGCAGAGCTCTTTTGCTCTCTTTCCAGTCACTTCTGAAGCTCTCACAAGCAGGGCAACTGCTCAGACACTTCACAGGATGGTATTACAGTTTCCTGTCTGTCTGACAGCAGCTTCTCAATAACCGAAAGCTTTCATGCTTCTCAATAACCGAAAGCTTTTATGAAGACTGCCTGCAAGAAACAGGCTTCAGAAGACAGGCCCATAGCCTATAAAACTCACTAAATTGCTATTAATCGTTTCTTATCTTACTGATTACTTATCTTATTCTTATCTTACTGATTACTGATTACTTAAACTGACGAGAAACTCCAGCTTACAAGGTCCATATTGTTATGAAGGAAATAAGTAACTATGACAAAAAGTACTATAACATTTCTCATCATTTTTTAGGTTTCATTTTAATCTTAACCATTTTCACCTTCAGATATTTAAATATATATATGTAAAATGGTTACCAGTCTGAAAAGTACAAATTTAAATGAGTTATTTTATAGCAATACACCTAAAAAATTGAACCAACCCCTTGCCCTGACCTCCAAATGTATTCAGACTACAGAGAAAACGGCTATTTTCTTTATCAGTAGTAAAAAGGCCTGGACACATTCTGGGGTAGTCTGTAAATCCAAATTGGAGCTCCAAATGATAAGCAAGAACAAAAATATTTTAGATGGTGGAGACTGAGTGAGGTGCAGTGTATTTGGTCTTCAGATTGACACAGTAAGTGAAGATGATGAAAAATATGATTTCCTGACTGTTTTGCCTACTAATGCTACTAATGTTGAAGGAACACTGCTACCATTGTATCTACACACAGTTTTTCAATATTTGCTCTCGTTAACAACCAGTCTATCTGAAGCCCAGTCCTGTCAGTCCATATACATTTGCTTAAAGTAACAAATGAGCTGGGCATTATTCACACGTACTTACAAATTCAGTCCCACAATCAGATTGATACCCTGAACGTCTAATGAATTGGAATTGCTTACAAATAAGATTAGGTGAATCTAATTTTTGGTCTCTTGGGTCACAACACATTGGGTGGGGAACCCTAAGCAACACCGAGAGATTCAAAATCACAAATTTCTTTAGTTTCAATAATGGTTTTGCAGCAATAATTTTAAATTATTTTAAATTAATAGTGACCAATTAAAGAAAATTGTTTTCATCACAACTGTTTGATTTTTACTAGAGAATGAACGCCTGTCAAGAGTTTTAACAGCTTAGCTTTAATTACAGAGTCTTTGCTTATAATGCTTGTTTTATAAGTGACTTCAGTTAGTACTTATATATCTTTAGATGCATGTAATGCATACGAATGTGAAAATGAAGAAATAGATGAAGTAGTTACATACGGTGAGAGCAACACTATGGGAACATGTTTCAAAATTATACATCATATAAACCATTTGTTTTATGAAGTCAACTGTAAAGCTTTTACTACCACATATGAAGACTACATTAGCTGCCCCGTTACTCAGAAGTCTTGTCATGTGTACTCATTATTATTTTCCTATTTTTTTCTCTGTAAATGGAACACGTGAATGTGCGTAGCTTCTGCAAAATTCAATTGCCATTAGTAATGGAAAAGTTTCAAATCTACAGCTGTATCTGTTAAACCACATAGATTGTGTTGCATTTGCACAGGTTATTCACATAGTTATTTAGCATTTTCTCACAGCTACAGCCAACCCCATTTGCATCCCAGTCTTCTTATAAATCTCCCTAGCCTTTATTCATGAACAGACCTCCCAGTACCCATTTACATGAGATTATGAATTTAGTCCCCCAGGTCAGAATTTAATATCCAGTTCTCTTTTTTTTTTTTTTTCCCAGGCATTCAAACTTAACATTATTTGTATGCTAAGAAAGATGGCGTCATACCTCAAATTCTTCAGAAAAACCATTACTTGCATGTAAATCTGCAACATGTTTTGGAAAATGCTTTATTGGAATTGCTCCAACATCATCTTAGGAGTGGGAAAAGACAAAAAATAGATTTATGAAGAACAAAAAGCCAGAAGAACATAGAAAGACGTTCATATGTAGGCAATCCATACAACATCCTGAAATAAAATTTTTGGTATGTACTCTGGATATACAACTACCCATAAAAATAAATACACTCTCCAACATCATTAGCATTTCTAAAATCATTCTCAAACACTTACACATTTCTAAATGGTTATTCTGAGAGAAGATATGGTAAATGTCCAGCTAGGTCTTGTTCTGTCCTTAAGCCTCCAAAATTAAGGTGCTGATCTTGTCTGAAAAACATTCAGTTGACTCGACTGTGAAGTCAAGGGGAACTGGGAGGTTTAACAGTCTGCTACAAGGTACTCAAAGGGAAAGGGCAACAGCAGCACTCTGAATAATACTGGTAAAGAATGATCAGAAGGACGAGTCTGGATGCTTTGGGTTGATTAGTATTGCAATGGTTTTCTGATACAGTACATGGACTACTACCAGTGTAGTTCCAGCCCTACTAAATTAATGCAGCATTATGACAGTAATTCTGACTGATGCATATAAGCACTGGCATCAAAAGAAACAACAGATTTTCATCTTTGACTACAGAAGTGAGTATTTTCAGGAGGAATTTCCCCCCTGTTCATGGCCATAGTTTTACAGTTGATATAAACTTATGTCTGATCCTGGGAATCAACTACAAATTCTCACATCAGGCTGATAACGCAAGTGTAAAGATTTAAGATTTTCTGGATACACAGAAAGAAAATATTTACATTCTCAACCAAGAAAAGTGACTTGTGACTAATGAGTCTAAATTTTCCATCAGGTATTTTATTTCAGTACATCTCCTTTTTACTTTATACAAACACAGTAAAACACTAATATAGAGCATTAGTTAGAGATCATGTAGAAAACATTTGGGACTTTTAGTCTTTTCTTTCCTGTAAATATGCTAGGTAAACACAGGCCTCTATTCTGCTAATTACCTGTTAAATGATGCCATTATTTTAGCTGGTTTTGGCTCTGAATAAGATTTATTTATTTATTTACTGGAACATTACAAAATATGTTTATTTCACAATTTTTTAAGTTCAGCACTATTTCATATGAGAGAAAAAACAACAACAAAAAAACATCAAAAACATTGAACAAAGATGATGTTTATGTCAACAGATGTTCAGCATTTAAGCCACCTAATAATTTTAGCTTTTGGTTACCAAGAATCTGTTGATTTGTATGGAGATCCATCTGGTCTTCCATTTACATGAATGGATCTGCATACAAAAAGTGAATTTATCCAGTCAAGCCTAAGAGAAGCCGACCAAATGTGTAACACTATCTTCACACTTCAGAGATGCAACCTGGCATAAAGTGTTTATTCTAATGATCTGCAAACACAACACCAGAAGGTAAGGTAGATGATCTTAAGAGTGACGACAGAAAGGGAGAAAGAGATTTCAGGTTACTACTATTTTATTTCCTGGCCACTGCTAATCTCCCAGCTCAGTAACTTCTGACTCTACGGATATATTATATTTCTAGATATCGAGTACTACTTGAAGCTCACAAAAGGTTGGTATTGTCTCCTATTATCAACCTGTAATTCACTATTTATGCTAAATGTGCAATTTGTACTGTGAAGTGCCGGGGCATTTTCTCTGAAAAACTGCAATCTCCTATCTATGCTAATGAACTCCACAGAAGGAAAACTTAGTTTATAATAAGGTCTGTGGAGTGTAATTTCAGCCATTGTTCTAATAAAAGCTTAAGCTTAGCAGTTAGAAAATGCTCTTTCTGGTCTACATTCTTTGCCAACATTGTATGCCAGTGAGTCTTAACTGTAACATTACACTGCTGAAACACTTGTATGATAGAAAACACAAAAACTGCTCACTTGACATCTGTTGCACCCAACACAAAACATAAACATTTTTTCTGAATGCTGGGCTTTCTTCCATACAACATTTTATGTATCCGTTAGTCATTTAAAAACACTTTCCTCTTTAAGTTAATATCAGCATTCCAAAAGTAAAACCTCAGTGTCAAAACACATATTTAAGCACTTGAATAACTGTAAGTGCAATTTTGTCTTATCACAACGGAATACACTATCTCCCTGAGGTGAGCTGGTCAGGGAAAATTGCAAGAAAATTATATAGTTATACTGCAATATAGTTAATGATAGAGAGTAAAAGCTGAAATTTCCTGTAATGATTGCCACTTGACATTCATATGTAATGACATGTTTTCTGAAATCAAGCTACATCCCCACCTATTAACCATTTAGAAAAAGGCTACCCGTCTCCTCACAATAGCAATCAACATAAGAGGCTTTTAAAGATGCCTACAATTCAGTGACAACAGAAGCCTAATATCTGGGATTTATTCAATTAAATGTTTTTACTAGTTACCTACACAAGGGCTGCTTTTGCTTCCCTTAGTCATTTCAAGAGTACCCACCCCCCCCAGGTAATTGCAGTTTGTAAAAGCATTATTTGTGGAACACAATATCTTCTTCTCATGTGTGAAATGCAGTTTGGGATCTGCAAAATTAATCTATTTGACTCTAACCAGTTTGAAAGAGCAAGAAGGGCTGCACATGCTTCTCTGCCTCATCTCAAGGAAGAAAGAAATGAAAGAGCTTCTCCAAAAAAAGTAGAGTGGATATGGAAAGAGAAGATGCTGATAATACTCTTCATTTGGGCATCAGTTTTATGAGAGGTTAACAGAGAATTAATATATCCATTAGAGTTAAAGAAGACATTGTAATTGCCAGTGAAACACAAATGAGATGTATACTGGTCCTGCTGGTAAAAAGTAAAGGTCATGTTCTATACACAGATGTCAAACTCAATTAATGGAAGAAATGTGGCAGAGTACATTGCTGGTGTAATCCTCTGCTTTGTGGCAATGAACTAGAGCTGCTAAGTGTAGCTCGAGTGTGGGTGACACAGGCTAGAAGGCACAGCATCTCCCTGAGACAGCTCCGTAAGGTGAGGATATTTCTCTTCTGTGCTACCTACAGGAAAAAATATGAGCAACACTAACCTCTGCCTCTTTTGAGCGCACCTGTGTTAATTAGTACAAGTAGGTAATAATTTCTGGTTTACAGAATGTGAAGAATTCATATGGGCACATGCAAGGCAGCATCTTTCAGAAGTTAACATCAATCCACAGAACAGTTGACAAAAAATACCTGAGACTGGGAAGACTGGAGCAGGGGGAGCAGAAATCACTCGAGGTGACGTGTTATCTTCCAAATAAAAGTGAGCAGTCTGGAAACATTTCCTAGAGGAGAAGAAATGTTAATAAATATGGCAAACACAAAACATTGCCTGAAATCCTTTGGAATTCTGACATCATTTAGTTAAGAGAATCGTGGTTTTGAAAACCAGTTCTCATGGAGTGTTGAACACAACTACTGTGATAGAAATATTGCCCCAATATATTACAGATTATGCATACAGCTGAAGATACTTAATTAACTCAGGATAACATATAGTTCATGCAACTTTACCTATACCAGAGGCAGAAGACAGAGCAGGCATCAGACATGGTGAAAGCTGAAAGAGGAACTCTCAGGAGATACTGTAGATGCTGTGCAGCAATTTCAAGTATAAAAAAATGCCATTGTCTTCCTTGCTTATCCAAATCTGCACACATAATTCCCTTTCATATGATTATGCTAGACTGAAGATGGAGCAGTGTATGAGATCAGCTCTGGTAATTCATCAGTAGAGCCTACTGCAGACATGGAAATGCAGTCCGAGGCAACTTGCTCTATAGCGAACAAAATGGAAGCTCTAGACCACTGTGATTGGTGCTAAACAATTTTTTAGTAATGTTATTGTCACAACACTGAAGGACACCTTAACCAAAGAGGACTTCCTGAAGTTGAAAGAGGAAAGCATGGGAACTTATTACTCCAAGGGATGCTAGCTGTGTTGAAAAACACTCAAAGATGAATATAAATGGAATCAACCTTAGCTGTGACCCCCACTGTTATTTGTATCTGTGCTGTAATCCAGATGTGAAGATAATAATAAGAGCATCTGTTAAGAGTCCAAGCAATTCAAGGGACTAAATAACCAACGGCTGCTGTAAGTATTGAAAAGCCTCCTTAATTAAAAAATCTCCATATGATTAGAAATGCTAATAACAATCTTTACTCTGGGTCACCTAATCTATTTGAAATATTATTCAGGAATTATTAAATTTAAAAAGAAACATACACATCAGTGAAACACTAATCTCATTTTGCACTTATAAGATTCTGCTTCTTGAAAAGTGTTGGCTCAAGCTGTTGCATGACCTTTTGCTATTTTCTGTACTCACTTTAAATTCTAATTCTTTACTGCTCCTGTAAATAAATACCACCACACTGATAAACCCTTTCATATAATTGTTAAAGTCATAAAGAGGTACTGAGGCTCCTTTGAGAAACAGTGATTATGTGGTTCATAAAGACTTTGATAGACTTATTTCAATGAAGCATCTGGGAAACATGCACATACTCATGGAACGTACTGGGAATTTTCTGTGTTCATGTACAATACAAATTCTCTTAAAACACAAGAGGAAGCAGAGAGCTACATAAAAAACAAAGTTGTGGCATGCAACATAGTTCTCGTGATACACATGGCAAATTTGGAGTCTAACTAGAACCTTCTAAAGGCACATTTGTGATGGTCTCAGAAGGGCTTTTGATTTTCCGCGATACGCCTAGGGGAATACTATCCATTGTGTACTTAGCATTACTTAAAAATGGTAATTCTTGATGCACATCAAGAAAATGGGGCAGATAAACTACAGAAGGAAGGGATACCATGTAAACGACCTGGACAAGTTTGAAAAGTGGGTCCACAAGAACATAATGAGGTTCAACATTGTCAAATGCAGGGTGTTGCACTCGGGTCAGAGCCATCCCAGATATGTGCACAGATTGAGAGAAGAACCCCTGTGGGGAAGGACTTGGGGGTTCTGGCGGACAAAAAGCTGCACACAGCCAGCAGTGCTTGCTTGCAGCCCAGAAGGCCAATGGTATACTGGATTGTATCCAAAAAGGGGAGACCAGCAGGGAGAGGGAGGTGATTGTCCCCCTCTACTCTGCCCTCATGAGACCTCTTCTGGAGTACTGTGTCCAAGCCTGGGGGCCCCAGCATGAGAACAGCATGGAGCTGTTAGAGTGCATCCAGAGGAGGACATGAAGATGATCAGAGGGCTGAAGGAGTTGTTCAGCCTGAAGAAGAGAAAGTTCTGAGGAGGCCTCACTGTGGCCTTCCAGAACTTAAAGGGAGTTATGAACAGGAGGAAGACCAACTTTATATGGATTGAAAATGATGGGACAAGGGGGAATGGCTTTAAACTAAATGGGAGAAGATTTTGGTCAGATGTTACGAAGAAATTTCTTACTCAGAGGATGATGAGGCCCTGGCGCAGCTGCCCAGAGAAGCTGTGGATGCCCCATCCCTGGAGATGCTCAAGGCCAGGCTTGATGGTGCCCTGTACAGCCTGATCTAATGGTTGGCAATCTTGATCTTGGCAGTGGAGTTGGTGCTCAATGGTCTTTATAGTCCCTTCCAATCCAAGCTGTTTCATGATTCTATGATTCTGTGATACTCAAGATGTATTAAGGAGGTCCTAACATTTGCATTATGCAGCTTGTGGCTGCTGACCTGAGAAAGGCTCCCAGTGAAGCCAGCCGACCAGAGAAAGGCTAACAGAACACTCAAGAGTTTCAGAACTGTGTGCAAAATGACCAAGAGATAGGTGAATATCAAAGTACTTTATTAAGCAGTTTTGGAAAGTCTAGTCCTGTCTACTATGCACTGAGAAGGATGATGTGCTGCATTTATTAAAAAACAACCAAATGTGCCAACCACCTCAACTTTAAAGGACAAGAACAAAAAAATGTCCTCCCTCTAATGCCTGGGGCTTATGAACAGTGATCATACGTAAAGCTTACAGAATAGCACTGCAGAAATTTGTCATCTCTTTGCCTGTGAAGATTGAACTAAAAAGAATTTAATTGGTATAATGGTTTTCATATAAAAAGCAGTGATTAAAATGTCTTCATAATATGCTATATATTCACTACTCCTAACTGAGCCACTGTATCTTCAATCTTTAGCAAGTTAATTGTGGCTGAAAATAAATTAAACCCTTAGCACATTTGGGAGACAAATTCATAGCGGTTGACTTAACCTGTAATAAGAGTCATAAATAGGCATTCCATCTGCTTTGGCATCGGCAGTGAAAGCCTTTATGACTAAACCTAATGTTAATAACCATGACTCGTTAATTATCACTTGTTGTTAATGTAAAAAGTGATGACTATTTCAAATTTCCAGACAAAGGTCCCATCACTCAATGTTGACCTGAGTATTTAATTTACACCTTTCGTCAAAGCATTTAGATCTTCAACCTAAAACTGTAATTTGTAATTTAGACACTGCTTCTTTGAACACACACTTTTTATATCATATAGTGAAAAAGCACTGATTTAATTAGAGTGTCTCAATCTGTACAGGAACCCAGGAAGCAGCAGCAATGTGATATAATGTGAAGGATACAATATCTGAGTGAACACTTCAGTGTGAACTGCTTGGGAGAATACTACACCTCAGACTGCAGAGGGTCTCTTTAGGGTCTCCTGTGCTCACAGGGCATCTGCCATTGGTTATTCTCAGATACTTAATAGAACTTATTTTGAAATGGTTTTGATCATTTGAGATCTGATGGATCCAAAGGTTATTTAAATAGAACTTAGAGAATCCAGTGATTCAATTTTTAAATGATTCCAATTTGTCTTTTAAATGCTTGTCAGTTGAAATTTTAATTTTAGAATTATATTAGTTCTTCTATTTATGGTTTGCTGTTATGCAGTTGAGCAGTTCCCTTTCATGGCTGAATGAATGTGAACACAGCAAGATAAAATTTGTTTTTAATTTGTTTCTTCATGTGCAAGTTCAATAATTCTTACAGAGGATTCTCAGCTCTTTTTCCACAAAACAAACACAGGATTCAAGATACAGGTTCAAATCATGGATAGGAAAATGAACATTCTCTGAAAGCTGCATTTCAGAGATACAGGGTGACAGAGGAAAGTTAAAACTTAAATGACTGCTCAGGGATTTGGCTGTTACTAGGTTGGCAATTTCTGAAGCACTGCTGTCATGCAGCTTCTGGGAGCTAATATGCAGTATCTCTGGACCTCGAAATGTAACTGGAACTGCATTAGGAATTTGCTGTTCACATTACCAGAGCCAGTATCTTACTGAGATTCACATGTATTTGTTCAAAAAACAATACTGAATGGTGCAGTTCACACTGACAACTATTACCATTTTACTGTTTGCCAAGCTCTTCTTATGTTAACCATTATAAAAACTGATTTGCACAAATTGTTTTACATTTCTTCCCATAAATCATTTCACTAGGTTCATTTGCACTGACCAATCCAATGAACTATTTCAAAAGATTACACATATGCATAAACAATTTCCAGTATGTCAGCACGGAGGAACTTTCAGTCACCTAAATACATAAGGTTAATTCAAGAAAATGGGAATGATGAAGCTATCCAGAAATGAGAAGAACAGGGAATGGAGATTCAAATATCCCTGCTGCATAGTGTACAAGGACTCAATCAGATACCAAGAAGAATGGATAGATTCCATGCTTGGATAGAAAATTCTCTCTAGAGCTGTAAAAACAATCTGTCAAGCAGGCAAAACCATTGCATAGGCAAAAGAATCTCCTCATTTATTCCACTGTAATCTTAATCATTCTAAAAAAAATGTAAGGAAAGTGTATTTGCATCAAAATATAAATGCTTGATGCACAAGACTACAATAATTCAAAACGGTGCACGTTCCTACTGAAAATTCTTTAGACAGTATTATCATTAAAAGTTTTTATTCCTGTGGGAGAAATTAGTTTTTTATCACAAAAAGATTGAAATTATGCCTAACGAGATAGGGAAGAGATTGGGGAATTTCCTCGAGTGATGATTAACAATTTCATGTAAAAAAAACACAACCAACCAATCCTATACCAAAAAACCAACTAAACCCAAACAACAGATGGTAGAGAATTATTTTTCTGATACCAGGCACTTGAGTGAAGAACAAAATAATTTTGCCTTTTTTTTTTTTAACCTTGAAAAGCTGGAATTTGAGGCTTTTGGTAGCTATTTGGTTTTGAAACAATATATTTTTTAAAAAGGTTACAGCTATTGTACATTCAAATCAGGAGGTGGCATTTTTCCATCAAAGACCCAGCTAAGATGTACCCATGCAATTTTTTTTTTTTTGAATACTCTTGCCAAAATGATATAGAATATCATCTTGTAAATCTAACATTTTAATTAACTTTAATGAGTGAAAGTAATTGGCTCACTAAAGGAAAAAGAGGTAGATACGCACTATAGAAAAGAAAACCTGTCAACTTACAACAATTATTTCAAAATCAGCTAAACTTAGCCACGGAAATACTTATAGCCATATAGCAATGTAGTTCACCATTTTTCATGAACTTTCAAATCATTAAGAAGTTCATAATGATTTTTCACAGGCTTTAAAACAAGGTGAGTGTCTTTGAAAGAGGCCTATAAAGTCCTGCCTACAATACATACAGCTTGAGATTCATTTTGCTGAAATAAGAACTATGTTACTGGTGTTATCATAAAGCCCAAGAAAATTTTCTCAAGGATTAACAAAAAAAGAGCTTCATATTTTATTTTGTAGTACACAAGAAATACAGAAAAGATTAAATTCAACTTCAAGAAGATATTACTGCTAACGAGATTTTTGTTTTATTTTGAAAGACCTATGTTACAGAATTGTTCATTCCCAGAAAAAAAATGCAAAATGAACATGATGTTATTTGACAAAAACAAGCTTGTAACATGTGTAGGATTACTAAAACTGCACTACACAATCTGGGTCTTAAAATGTGTAGTGTTCTTTGGAAAATAGAAGAGATTTGAAAGACTATTTAGGCTCAAAGATGAAACTCTTTGGAAGATGAATATGAATGTTCATGTTGTGTAACATGAAAGACAGGAAAAGGCTCTCAATATGAAAGTGGCTAGCTAGAAATCCTGTGATGGAGAATATAATTATCCAACTATACATAAATCAGGAAATGTGTGCAGTTCTTCCAGCAATTAACCACTTATTTGAAAAGTGGAAGAAATCTTTCTGCAAATTCAATGCTTTTCAGTGTTTTATCATGCCAAAGACTGGCTGACTTATAAGGATGCTTGCCTGGAATGAAGGAAGCCTGAACCCAATTTCTTAAGCTTCATCTGCTGAGGGATGGGATATATTCTGTCTTGTGTTGATATAAACCAGTGAGGAATCGGGAAGCAAAGTCAGTGAGCCAGACCCTCACGCCACAGCCTAATGGTTACAGTAGTCAAGAGCTGACAAAGGCACCCTGGGATCTGGTTCCTGTTTCCTGGTTCTTTGCCACGGTTACACATTTTAGGTTAAGCAAGACTGTACAGATGAAAGAAAAAGAAGGAACAGGCTCTGGAAGTCTTCCAGGAGCAAGGCTCTGCTCCTTGCTGCTTGTTTATGTACACAAGCAATGATGGGATCAGGCCTCTGCAATCATAAAAGAGTAAGAGTTTCTATGGCAGGGTGATGTGCAACTTAACACTCACCTCTTTCAGTCCACTATGTCTCTTCCTTGGCAACTCTCACTCTCAGGAAAGTAAGGGCTGTGTGGATTTTGGAAGTCTGTGAGAGCCTAAGAAGACTTGCCCCTAGAAAGACTCCATGGCTTCATCTGCATCCAGTGAAGAAAAGCTGAAGAATTGAACACTGCCTCATTGCTAACAGGATTCCTGGTAGGCTCATAGCTTAGACCAACCTGTGTTACTGCATACAACGCCTGACACTCTGGGATTAGACCCAGAAACTGTCCCTGGCAGGGGATCTGAATGCACTCGCCTTATTTCTCCCCTGTGAAGGAAGAGCCTTTGGCTGTACGGAAGCAATCTGTGCCATGCCTCAAGACAGTAGAAGAGTCCCTGGACCACCTTATTTCACAGAATAGGCTCAGTCTTTTGCCCTCAGTGGTTGCACCTTCAGGACTCTTGTCTACCACCTATATTTAGCCTGACTTTTTTCTTACTTTCTTATCAAGTCACAGAAAACATTCCCGTGAGGGAACTTGAGCATGCATGCATCACAAAACTCATCTGCTTCATCACCTGTTGAATGGTTTCAAAGGCTGGGGGGCAAAAACTCTCATTCTAAGACAGGCATGATCACAAAGCAGACCAATTTTTAGTCACTAAACATGAGATCTACTCAGGAAGCGATCTTAAAATATTGACAGAAAACCTAATTTCTATCTCATATTCCATGTCAGCTACAGCCCATTCCTACAGTACTTTATGAATTGCTTATTTATACAGTCCTGTTGATGATCATAGATTTTTGTCTTAAATTGATAACAACTGTACTTATTTATTTATTTATTTATTTATTCATTAATAGTTACATGATTGGGAAAATAGGAAACAAACCCATTCCATGCTATTTATTTTATTTCTTCCTCCTGTTCTTCCCAGTGTTCTGTTAATTCACTTGGCTTCCAGCGTTAGTAAACTAAAGTAGTTTTTACTAAATTCTCTCAGTATGGATATAAGGTATTTCTCATGTCTCAGCACTGCAACCAAAATTCATTGTAGATGTGCATTTTGGAAAAAAAACAGCCTACTGCTTTACGCTACTGCAGCTCTGGGAGCAAAACAAAGACACAGTGAGAGATAAGATCCAGTCTCTCTCCTGTAAAGCAGCTCAATAATGTCAATCACATTTTTCAAATCAGTGTTCTTTGGCACTGGAAAACAAACAAACAAACAAACAAAAAACCAACAAAGCAACAACTTACCTCCAGTATATGAGAATACCCACAAGAATCACTAGACAGATAAAAGTCAGGGCGGATACGACCACAAGTGGTATAACTGTCTTCTTCTCTGATTCCAGACTCTCAGCTAGACCAATACGAGACTCATGGCTACTATTACTTGCCTCTGCAGTCAGAGAAAATTGAAACAGTCCATGTTTAAATACTGACAAACACAGCACGAGTGAAGGTGTCGTATAACGAGCCTACTTAATACCACTTACCTCTCTTTTTCACTATTCACTGCAGAAAATGTATACATTTGCAAACCAGCTTACAGAAAATAAGCAGACAGAGGGTAAAGCAAAGTATTCAAGCTTTTGTGATTCAGCCTTCCAGCAGTGGAGACTTCTTTGTAAGAACAGCAGATTGTTGTTAAAATATAGGAGAAGAAAGGTTTTTATTTTCATCTGTTTATTAGCTGAAAGTCAAATGATTTAAGGGTTCTGAATTTATAATACTGGAATGTGTAAAGCACACTGATGCTAAACTGTCACTCACGTAATGAAAATCACTTCTCCTTGACTAATAATTGTGATTTTTTTTTTATTTTTTATTTTTTATTTTTTTTTACAACAGAAAATCTCAGTATGGTTATTTATTGCATCTTCTGTAGTTTAATATGCTGTCCATTTGGTAACTTGCCTTGTAGAAAATCTAGTTTCCTTTAAATTCAATTGCAGCACTCCCTTCTCCAACTATAATGGAGCCAGAATTAAATTCCCTACCTCCGTCTTTACTCGGAATCAAATTGTAATTTAGGTATTATCTAGATTTCACGTAACTGTCAGCCTTGTAATACTGGGTGATTAAAATATTTGGGCACAGGAATCTGTACGAAGATTAAACTGATATATTTTATAAGCTCATTAAAAGAAGCATACATAATGGTGGAAGAGACCAATCCTGCAGACTTTACTTTCATCCCTCTGAAAGAAAACGCTTGAAAACATAGACTTCAACAGAAAACAACTGCTTCTTTTAAATCTATGCAGCTGACTGTGATCTGTGACCATTATACGTGAGTCAAAATACAGAAATAACCACTTCCACACTTTTTAGAATTAATCCCTAGATTTTCTAAGATAACTACATGTCTTCTGCTTTTGTGAATTGTCTTAATACAATTAATGCTCTGAATGGGACAGGATATTGCTGTCTAAAATCAGCTGTACTTCAGTGGGGTTTCAAGACCAACTCCACATAACAGTTTTCAGACAAAAGGGAGCAGGGAATATTGCTGGATCTGAAAAAATATTGACAAAAAAGCATAGGACCTAAATACAATATAAAAAACCAGACATGATCATGTAGCATAGGCTTCCAGGCATTTATCTGCTTTCATTTTCTTTAGTTTTTGGGCTTTCTAGAAAAAGATGTCTAGGTCCTGATCTTGCAGATATCTTCTTGGTTTTAGTTCAGAGTGCTCAAACACCCAAATCACTCACTGCTTTTTCAATCCTGTATCTCCGTGTGCAAGGTGATTGCAGGAAAAAGAAAGGCTTCTGAAAATTTGTCCCCAAGCTTCTCGCAAGTAGACTAAAATCAATACTGATTCAAGAGGAAACTATATATCTGTATGAGAGATCAGAATACAATCCCTTTGAGGCATATACATTTGGAGTAACTCACAGGGTAAGACCCAGACTCATCTTTGTGATAACAGGGCTCCTTCACACTGCATGACCAAGTCCTGTTCTCCTATGAAGAAGAGCAGTAGATCCCTGTAATGGAGCTTCTTGCCTGCTTGGCCATCGCTCCAATGATGGCAGCTGAACAGGGAGTCTCACCTACAGCAGATTTCCTACTCCCTAATAATTGGCATGCTTAGATCATTTCCATTATTATTTATATTTGTTTCTTTTATGGTTTTTCAACTGAGGATGAAAGGTTTAGGTAGCCATAGAGGTCTTAAGGAGAAAGTCCTCATTCAGAATATGCATTGACAACTGTAATAACGAGTGGGTAAAGTTTAAATGACATTTTTTTTCTGGAATAGTCAAAGTAAGCAGACATTTCATTAATTTTTGATGAATTCACAGTAATACACAACTTCTTAGTTGTTGGGTTTTTTTTTTGTTTTGTTTTTGTTTTTTTTGTATTTGAGTTAAGCAGGGATAGTTTTGATTTACAGAAGACCACGTTAGACATGCTTGCATTTTAATTTACAGTTTTTAAATGACAGTATTTGGTGTAATTTATTGGAAAAAATAATATACATGAAGTGATCCTATATAATGTATTTCAATAATATTTAGAAGATAAAATTTATCTGTTGTAGTGCTACTCTAGACACGTATAATCTTTTTGAAGTACTTTTATGAAGTAACAGTTGAAGCTCATTGTTAACTAAATGACACTTATGCAATCTATTAATCTTTAAAGGCAACATTCATTTACATAATTCATATGAGTTTTGAAATATTCCTTTTCTTTTTTTCTGATTTTTCAACAAATACGTTTTGCAGTTTAAACCATGAGGTAACCACTAACCAACTGAACTAACTCACTTTTTGTTTCAGTTTTAATTTGTTAGGACTAATTACAATTTTGGCATGTCTTCTATTTTATTTCAATACATTTTCTATTTTTTGTTTTGTTTCGTTTTCCATTTTTCACATTCTATCAGCTCCTATTACATAGTGTTGATTTGGCACCTTTTCATATTAGCACTCTGTAGCTCGCGAGCAATACAACTTCATTTCATTTCGCTCTGTATTCGTAGGACACTGCCTAAAATTTCACATGCTGTCTAGATCTATTCAAAACAGATTTAGTTGGATGATACTGCCCTCTACAGATGCTGTGACTGTTTAATTTCAATTTACTTTTTAAAATACAAATTCACCTCGTCAGTTTTTTTCCCAAGCCACAGTTGTTTTTTCTGATTTTACTTTTCGGTTTCCAATATGCTAACATGAAGAAATTCAAATTTCTTGTCTGAACAGTTTAAGTTTCCACAACACTTTTTAAAATATAAAGGCAATATAAATATTTATCTGGTTCTTATCTATGCAAGGTGCAGTTTCGCCTTCTGACCTCATCTTTGCAATCACAAAATCTCTCACTGACTTTAAGAGGAATAGTTAGGAAAAAAATATATATATATGAACAAGTACAGGAGAACCCAGCTCTGATATACTGCAAATAAGCAAAACTAGCATAAAAAAACTCTGCATCTTACTGAAATTTGAAGACAGCATAAACAATAAGAATGAAGATGAATGTTTATGCAAATTAAGATGAATCAGAATCAAGCTGAAGCATCTTCTTCCTTGCTCAATACACCTTAGAAAATACAAAATAAAACATAAGGAGGAAATGTGCTGCCATAATTATAAAACAGAATCTCAGAGGTATGTTTGCACTGGTATAGTTTCCTCTGGTAATGCCTTTGTACAAAGAACTTACATCTCTCTTATACCTTTAAAACTCAAATTAAACCATTAACATTGAAACAAATTCTGGTCTTAGACTGCGTACCACGCAACTTCAGCTGATGGTACACATCCATCCAAAAGCAGAGCACAAATCTTCCTACTGAAGATTTTCAGGTGCAGTTTGAAGTAGACAGAAGTGGCACTCACAAGGCAACCTGCTCAGTATGTACCCCTGCTCCCCAAGGCCTCCTTAATCACCGCCACTGGCCCTCTTCTCCTTTTGTTATATACATATAAACTTCATTGTCTACAGCACAAAAGAACCCCTCACAGCTTTCCATGGTATGTATTAGACTCATCCATAACTAACCTGCCTCAGAGGTGTTGAATACTGATGAGTGATCGCTAGATACAGATGAGGCTGATGACTGTGATGATCCAGGAGTTAATTCTGAGTTACCTGCTTCAACTGCCCCTTCAGTGTCTCTCTCATTAAGGTCAGGAAAACTGAAATCTGTTGATGTTTCATTATCATTAAGGCTATCTGAGGTACCTTGGCCAGAACCACTTTCTTCATCACTTGTAAAAACAGCCCAAGACTTAGACTCTGATGTGTTTTGCAATGGGACACTAGCAGTTTGAATATGGTTCTCCAAAAATGTCGGGTCGCTGTGCTTCTCAGGTATCACACTTGCTGTCAGAGATGGTACAGATGTATAATTATGTCTGTCCGTGGCATAGTTTATCTGCCTGTCTGATGCAGCAGTCGAAATTCTCTCTTCTTCTTCAGGTTTCCCAGAATGTGAGCTTATAATTAGGTTGTTATTGTTTACCTCTGCATTTTGCTCCTCTACTACCATATCCTCATCTTCTCTATGGGAAGAGCATGAGATACAGTTACTTATGGGGAAGCCATCGTCATACTCATCGTAGTCATCCTCAACTACAGAAGGCCACAAATCGGTACTGGTCATGACACTAGGAGACAACCCAGAGGATTCTCTAGAAGGAACCAGTAACCTACTCAAAGTTACAGGGCTCTTACTTTTGGGAGGAACAGCTGTGACAGAAATATGTGCACTTGGTAAAGGAAAGGTGTGACGAATGGACACATCAGAATCAGAAACCACTGCTGGCATTTGCACAGGATCAAAACCAAGTGGAGAACTTGAAGAGACACTGGCAGTCTCACTTCGTTCAAAAACACTTGCAGAGGTATGGCTGTCTGGAGGAGTAGCTACATGAGGTAATGCATCAGCTGTTAGGAAGGGAGTTGTTACTGCATCTGCTGCTTGGGGGGGAAAGGTATTTGCATTTTCTAAACTGGTCAGCTGGAACGAAACATCGCTACTGTACAATGAAGGCATAGCCTGCTGAACATCTTCACTGTTAAACAGGCTGGATGAAACATACTCCTCACTTGCATAAGAAACAGGTAAACCTTGAAGTGACGCTGTGGGCTTACTAAAAGCGTTTGACAACATATCAGCAATGGAATGTAGAGATGCAGAAGGCAGCATAGTTTCATTTGTAGCAGAACCTGGTGCCATTTGATGCAATATTTGGTCAAATGCAGAACTATCTTTATAAACCCTGGAGCTTTCAGCCAATATTGGATCACTCGGCACAACTGCAGCTGTGTTAAGCAGAGTGCCATCGCCAGAAGACTGGAAGGAGGACTGCAGTAATGCGTCATTATTTAATGCAGCTGAGGCCTCATAAAAGTACGGCTGAGTCGAGGATAACGTTTTACTATAAGCAGGGGCAGAGACAGCTTGTTCTGAGATTGCACTAAGCATAGGTCTAAGCAAAGTGTCATCAGAGGCTGGAGATGCAACATGCAAAGGCTGAACGGAAAGGCGATTTTCTGTAAGTTTACTAATATCATAATCAAATACCTTAGTAGTGGGAAAAGCAAGAGAGACTGGAAGGATTCCCTTTGTGCTAGAAACAGGAAGTAGGCTTTCTTGCAGAGACGTGGTCTGCTTAATTACATCATTATTAGAAACAGATGTAGAAAGTTCAGGTATCACTTTACTTTCAGCACTGGAAGCCATTTCTCTTAAAGAAGAAGAAATTTGCAGTTCTTTCTCATCTCCATATACAACACCACCTTTTTGAAGCACCTTATTAACATCACTAAAACCAGATGATTCATATGTAATTTCATCTACAGAATCAGAGGAAGAAGCATTATTTACGGTCAAAGTGTCTGTGTCAGGCAAAAGGGACTCACTACCAGAGTATGCTTCAGACCAATCCATATCACTAGATAGAGAGCGTGTAGGCTGCAGCCAAGTATCAGCTTGTGATGTTACAGAGGAAGGTTTATGCACCAGTACATTGTTATAGCTGCTAAATAAAGGATCCTGATGAAATACGTCAACAGAACCATGCACAAATTCTGCAGAGTCATAAGAAACAGTAAAGCTTTGGAGGGAGCCCGCATTACTAGACAAAGCATAAGGATGTTCAGACATTGTAGATAGTACATGCACATTTAAATCACTGCTGGATGGTTCGACTTCAGAAAATATGTGAGTTCTATTATGACCAAATATCAGTGTCTCTGAAGCAGCGCGAGTGGTCTGATGTGACACCACATCAGCATATTGAGCAAGGCTTGGCTGTATTAATGTATCACCCTCTGCCAACGTCAAAGAAGCATGCAGGGACACCTTATCACTTGCAACAGCTGGAGTAGCACTTTGTGGAAACATTTGAGAAACTGTGTACAGACGGTGAAACATTTTACTACTGGAGGAAGCAGAGGAAAATGTAAGCAAAGGTACATCATCATAGGAAGACAGGGTGGGTTCAAATGACACATCAACACTGGGAAATACAGGTGTAGCATGCAAGGTCACATCACTATCTGATGTAGCAGGGGTAGTGTTGAGCATCTGAGAGTCAAACAATAAAGGGGTGACTAGAGGAAACACTTCACTACTGTAGGAAGGTTGAAGAGGTATCTCACCATTATAGATTGGTTGAGTTGTCTGAGAGAGTACCTCACTGGCAGCAGAAGCAGAACCATATTCTCCAGAGCTTGAAGAGAGAGAGTGAGGTGATAATTCAGCAGAGGAGAAAGCAAAGGTAGAATAATGTGGCAATTCTAAATCCGCATCTGACGTGTCCTGTGAAACCACTGGGCTGCCGGAATAGGGCACTGTAGCTGGCTTTGATCCCTCTACATAAGCCTCAGAGTAACTGGTCTGAGACAAACGACTGCTATCCGATGTACCAACAGACTGAGTTGTCAGCTCCGTAGTGTTACGAAACCACACATTCCCATCAGTGGAAGACATATGCTTCAGAGGCTCATCAGAGCTTGGGAGTGATGCACCTTCTGAAACATATTTAACAGAGCCTTGGTAAAGGACATCATGCATGCTTATATCTGGGCTTCCTGAAGGAAGGATTTCTTCTTGGGAGGTCTCCTCTGTAACTGGATGTGCTGAAGAAGTGGTGAGAACTGAACTCCAAAAGTCATCAGATTCCTGATCAGGTTTAAAAGGAGACAATGAGAAATCTTCACCACTATGGCCTGTAGTGGTTATCCTGGTTGGTTCAGTGCCTGAAGAAAGGTATATGTATTCTTCTTCTATGCCTTTGGTGGAGTCAATGAATTGAGGAGGAGTTTCAGTAATTGTTTGGGATTCCAAAAAAGTATCTTCTTCAGAAGTTTCACTGACAGATGGAGAAGTAGGATAATAAACTGCTTTGAAAGCATCATCCTTACCAGGCAATTCTTCTCTTGTTAAGTATCTATTTATTTTAGCTTCATTAGATTTTGTCCCCGTGTTATCTTGACTGTAGCTTGATGTAGTCACTCGGAAATCTTTCCTCTTTATTTGTTTTATTGCACTGTCAGTGCTAGGAATCACTGCAGTTTCTTCATTCATCTCTGTTTCTTTTTCATCAGCTTCATCCTTTGAAAAAATATCACAGCCGAAGACAATTAACAGTGTTTGTAGACACCACACATAAATGAAATCCAAAACTGCAATAACATATTTATCTGGCTTCATAAAAACAAAAGGGACAAAACAACGGACACCTTTGAGAATTCTGTTGACAAAATTTTTAGTTACGAGAACAAGTATCCTCTTCACTTGCAAATACTGCCTATTTGCAAGACAAACAAACAAACAAAAAATCTGTGCTCAGTAGCTTCTTAAATGTATGAGGGGGAAAAACCACTCGCAGTATTTATTATTCATAAAGGTCTACATCTTTCTAATAAAATGCAATTTGCACTACACGTCAAAGAAAAATAACTTTATGACCAGAATATTTTAGAGAATTGCACTAGTATTCTGATATTGATTAAACTGCTAGTAACAGAATATAGTAGCAGAATATGGCCTGTGTTTAAATTTGATGAATCGACATTTTTTCCTAGATGATACGATTTCAGGGTGTAAAAGATCATCGTACAACAGCATCAAAAGTGTTGTGAGTGATACCACCAAGTCCCTGTTACTGACCTTCCTTTGCTGAACACAAATGATAACTTGTAAAAAGTCTAAATTAGTGTTTTGACTTTTAAGGCCAGATCTAATGAATAGATAAATAGATAGATAAATTGATAAATAAAATAAATATGTGTATGTCTAAACACAATGTCCCTATCCCCAAATTTCCTTGAGCCAAATCCAGAAAAGTAGTGTGGAATCATGGAAATTGTTCATGAGAGGTGGTATTTTGACCAAGTATGTAGATGCCACCAGCTTTGTGCCATGCCCAACTCTGCCAACTGCAGCATAGCTCTGCACAAGGGGCATGACTGCAAACTAGATTGAGGAGTACCCTCAGCTGCTGAAGAGACTTGATTTTATAGGCACACATATGCCTAATAGATACCAGCAGGACAAAGCCTCTCTCAAAATGGAAACTGAATCACAGAATGGCTTGAGTTGGAAAGGAACTTGAAGATTATCTAGTCCCAAGCCCTTGTCTGTGGGCAGGGTTGCCACTCACCAGATCAGTCTGCCCAGAGCCCCATTCAACCTGCCCATGAATGCCTCCAGGGATGGGGCATCCACAGCTTCTCTGGTCAACCTGTTCCCATGCCTCATCACCTTATTTATTCTTTTAACTATAGTAAATGTTCCCTCTTTTAATTTAAAGGCATATCACTAACAGATCATGCAAAATGGTCCTCTCCAAATACTGTTTAAACTGTTATTCTTTTGAAGACACAGCTTGATGATGTGCTAGTAGTAGTGGTAATACTAGTTTCTACTGCAGTTTAAGCTGAATTGATGACCTCTGCACGGACGTAAGGCACTGTAGAGAGATGAATGCAAAGTCAACCGTCTTGGAAGGAAGGTGCCCAAAAAAAAGTGTGACTGAACAAATTATTAACTAGGATACACATTAAATAATAATCTTTAACTTTTATCCAATCCTACCAGAGGGAAGGCCTTAATCACCAGACTACAGCTGTGCTTCACACAGAAGTCCCTTTCTTTCAGGAACATCTACTGCACTCACCATACAGCTACTGTCTTACCAGAGGCAATATAATAACCTGAATATGTAACTTACATCAAAATAGAAAAATAACTATATTATTGGCTAGTCAGCTTTCACAAACAGAAGGGACGGTAAACAGAAAGTTAAGAACAAGCTATTTCTCCATTTAACTAACAAGGACATGCCACACAGTGAAAATACTGTGGTCAGAGACTGAAACAGTAATTTTTTTTCTGAGGCATTACTTGATGTCAGTGTAGATCTTACTGAAGGAAATGTCCATGTTGTAAAATCTGTATTGATCTGAGTTATGTTTCACTGTGATATTTTCATCTCTCTTCTTGCTGGGATGTGAGAAATCAAGTTAACAAATACAGAAATAAAATTTAAATTCTGCAGAAGATATCATAAAAAACATCCCAAATGGTGTGAAATAGGGTTATATCGTCAGTTTTAATCTCTAACTTGAATTGAAATGCAGGGGTAACTGAGCATCCAAAATTTTGGAATTCCATGATTTGAAATGGTAGCTGTTAACCTCAATCAACAGCAGACACGCACAAATCTTATTTTAAAGGACAATTGCCTTCCTCCCATACTTTAGTTTATCACACAGTAAGATTTACCTGCTATATGTAAGACCAAGACAGATTTCTCTTTAAATAATTCTAAAAAGCTTAATACTACATGATCACTTTGATTCTCTTAAATTCATAGTTTTGTTATTGAATTCACTCAGATGTAAGTGTAATTTGATGTGCTATTTTCAAAAATATTTCTGCATATTCTGTAATTTCCCTCAATTCTCCATGCATCTCGAGCTCCAGATAACTGTGTAGGTAGAGAGATATCTCTAGAGTTACGTAGGGAAAAATAGAGCTGAAAATGAATGTTGTACGTGCATACATATGCATGTATGTATAAATGCTGACAATACATTCATAGACCTGTAAATTCCTACAGAATATCAATTTTATTTTGTTGAAATCTGTGTATTACTTTGAAATACTCTTTCAAAAATAAATTAATGCTATACCTCATAATCTTCAGTTTCATTCAGTTCAGGAATGAGGTCAGTCTCTATAAAACAAAAATACAAACCGTATCACCAAACATTTTCAATTCACAGAATTATTAATTCTGCAAGGACTCAGTTGATTAATTAATACATTTATTGTGACTCAGTCTAAAGTATTTTATAGGATTGTGTTTGGAGAAGTGGCCAACTAACTGGAGAGAGCACTAGCTTTACGGATAGCAGCACTCATCTAGACAGAAGACTTTCTGCTGCAACAGTTTTGACTGGTGCTAATTTGATATTCCATCACATGTTGGATCTTTACTACAGAACCACATCTAAGTTTATGAGAATACTGTCTTATACAAGAAGTTTAATGCAGAGGAAACAGTAAACAGTAAAAGTAAGTCTGGGAATCACGGAGTTTCATTCTGAAACTTTCGAACATACTCTTGTAAAATGATCCGTTCTATAATTTTCATACAGAAAATTCCTCATTTGTGCACCCATGCTTAAAGTTAGGTGCTAGTGCAAGTCATGCCATCACAGTCAGCATGCAGTAGGCTGGCACCCATTTTTGTCAGGGAAGGCCAAAGAGACGCACACATTCTAGCTGCCAGTGCTTAAGGTCTTCTTCAACCTCACTCTCCACTTGCTTCAGTGAACAGACCAGAATCTAGTTCTATCACGTCCCACAAAGCTGGGGATAATAAGAAGATATTGAGTACTCTACTAAAACTTTTAAGGTCTTCCTCATTTTTTTTTAATAAATAATTAGCAACTGTAGCGGAAGCAAGAACTCATGTGAAAATCTTTCTCTCTGAAATTTAGAGGTAGTCTATCATATTCTTTCTCACTGTCTTTTTGACCAACAGAGTATTGTGGTTGTGATAGCGGTCAGCAAGAGAGGCTTCAAAGCAGGTAGTGAGAAGCCTTCAAATCTCTGGTAGGAACTGGCATGGCCTCAAGTGATGATCTCTTACACCCTTTCACAGTGCTAACTCACTTCACTGCTCTCTTCAGCCAAAGAAAAGCACATTCCCTTTCTGGATCTTCCTAAGGCTTTGCCCTAAGCAATGCTGTCAAGCCCTGCCTATTTACCAGTGCCAGAATGTATTCTGAAGTTAGTTTGCACTGTGAAAATGCCAGTCTCTTATCCTGGTAAGTGATTCTAACAGTAAGATCCTATAGAACTGTATGTCTGCATCTCGTCAATGATTCCCAAATGTAGCTGTCTCCATACATTAGTATAAAGAGGTCATTTCCACACTTTTCATTTCTGCAAAGTCAGGCGGGTTCTTAATTTGTATTCTGTCCACATCTATGTTTCCAAAACTTTGAGACATGTATTATATGCAACATACAATTAGGTAAAATTTATCACATTAACATGCTCAGTTTTTTTCTATGGATTCTAATTTGTAAAAACATTTTGACTGAACCTGCAGAAAAAGTTTCAGAAATTGTTCTTTTTTAAGTAAGTTTTATAAATTACCAAGCACTTGGTAATTGGTAATGAAATAATCTTTTATTAATGAGATAGAGAAAAATGATCTTACCTCTGACTCCTGGAAGCCTAGGAGGCTCCGGGACAGGGAGGGGAGAGGAGGGGAAGGGGAGGAAGGGGTGGAGGAGGAGATAATGATATTCCCTGGCTTCTCAATGACAGAAATCAAACATCATAAGACATTAATTTAGACCCGCACCGTATATTACTGTTGTCAGCAACTCAAAAAACTTCTCTGTAAAGAAAAATAATACAGAAAAATGCTATCTATTCATTCTACAGTCACTTGTCTTGAGTTGATCTTTAATCAGACTTCACGAGAAAAATAAAACTTGTTGATTATGCTATATTATACAATAAGCTACATGCCTCCTCATTCCAGCAGCAAGAAACTCAAGTTTCTCACTCTTGCCTCTAATGGAGAGGTATTTATACACACACACACACATACAGTTACAGATAAATAAACAAAAAGTCAGCCATTTTACCAAGACAGTTTAATTTGGGTTGGTTACAAAAACATATTTGTCAAAAGCCTTAGAGACACACTTATAGAAGTTCTGTTAACTCAGTTGCTGTGATTTTTATTTGACAGCATTTTATACAAAGTGCTAACAGCCACTTACTTATCAGAAGAACCACCCACCAAAAAACAACCCATTGATGTAGGCTGATAAACAAGCTTGTTTATTTCTTCTGGAACCACATTTTGCTTATTCTAGAGCTTACATTTTAAATAGTTAAACCATTAGAAAGTTTTGAAGTTATCTTTTCACACAATAGTGCATTTTAATGACAGATGAAGAAAGGACAAAACAAAGACAAAAAAGGGAAATTCCCTACACTTAAATTCAACGCAAATCTTTTAAAAATCTTTTAAAGCAATCTGATCTGCAGCTGTAAAAATAACAGGTACCCTCATAAATTCTTTTCAGTTCTGTACTATCTTATGCAATAAATGTCACTGGAAGAAAAAAAAAGTAAAGCCTTTTTCTTTTGTTTGAACCAGTTTTCAGATGTCTACGTTTATATTGTAAAATTAAAAATAAAAATTAATTAAAAATAAAATTAGAAAAAAGCATCCCCTAAGTGAAACATCTGTGACATGCTTAGTGCTTTTTTAGAACAAAAATTACTCACAAAGACAAGTTACAACAAAATAGCATAGTTAGACCCTCACAAATCATCACTGACATTATGATCTGCATTTGAGAGCCATATCCCAATATGATTTTTTATAAAAACCAACCAGTGTCTCTACACAGGAAGGTGAAAAGAGAGATATATTCTTACTTTCATGCCCTGCGTCAGTAAAAGCATGTAAGTACCACTGATATTAATGACACAACAAACTACTGCAGAACTTTCAGAACTCTAAAGACATTATCTAGAGAGTCAAAGCACATTCAGATAATGAAAATCCAGTTCTAATACCGAATGAAAAACTGGTAAATGAAAGCTGGGCTTTCATCAAAGTCAACTAACACACTACCTACCGATACACTCCATTTTCAGTGGATGTTGGGTAGCTGTGTCAGGGAAAGCAATCACCAACTGTCACTAATTGGAAACTAATTGGAAAAAAATCACATGTGCATGCACACTGCACCACAAGCTGAAATGCTGCTGCTCTGAACAGTTCAGGTAAAAAAATCCAAATGCAGAAGTCTCAAATATGATCACCTGTGTGGTGAGATTCTGAGGCTTCCACAAACCAGAATGATTTCAGATATCAGCATGGGGGACAGAAGTTATGGCCTGGAGTTTTACACCTTGGTTGAGGACCACGCAGGTTGGGGACGAAGCATGAGAAACGCCTTCCCCTTCCATCATGTCAAATAAAAATGGCTAAGACAATGGTCCTGAGTTTTCTGAACAGTAGATTTTGGTTGTACAGGGTACAGAAAATTCCCTCTTTAAGAGTGACCACTCCCCGAGGGCTGAATTCTTCCCAGAAAAAGGGCTCTCATGTCCCATTTTAATTTCTAACATGAAGATTAATTAATCTGGAGGTGACTGCAGTGAATTTCATCTTAATTAAAGTGGCTTACTCAGAGTAAGTCTTGAATACGAAACTTTTAGTTTATGTTTTATGTGAGTCAATTTTATTTCACGTCTTCATGGTGAAGATAACTTTTCTTTCATAAATTCACAAGCAGGAGCTCCAAGAAATCCCCTTTTGCCTCAAGATCTATAAAGCAGATCACAAAACCAATTTGATGTTATAGTTGTAATCATCAAGTAGCTCTGAACAAATCTTTCTCATTAGATATTTATATTTTCATATCTCTGTTGTTTCATATTGCAATATTTAATATGAAAATATTTGCAAAATTTGCAGTGGTTAATTCAGATGTAAATAATTAGTAAAAATAAGTACGTAAAGAAACAATATTAGAAAGGAATGGAAGTTTTTTGCCTTAAAAAAAAAGAAAAAGAAATTATATCCAGAGCTAAGACAGTTCTTATAAAATGTATTTATAGAGCAATGTACACTTCCACCAATCACACTAATTATATGGAAGGAGTCTTTCCTGAACTTTCTTCATCCAATATTTTCAGATATACCACTACAAAAGTGTCAAACTAAACACAAAGCACTTTAACAACTTTCTGTCAGTGTCAGATAGGAAGCATCACAAAGAAACAGCTTTTCTGAAACACAGAGATAATTCATTTTTAATGTTAAACCTCTCCTTTTTTTTTTGGTTAAAAATCAAAATATCCTTGAAAGAATTCATTTGACCTGAAATAACCTCTCTCCATTTCGAAGCTCTTGACAAACTAAAGGAAACACCTCAAGCAGACCCAAAACCACTACAGATTTTCAGAGCTGTCTGAAATTTGAAAAAAAAGGTGTTCATAGTTTACATACTTTTGATATAGTTTACATATTTTGATATGCAATATGCTTAACTCTCCTTTTCACAATGCCTTGTTTTTTGAAAAAAAGAGAACTTGGGATCAGAATGTACTTACAGAAGTTAATTTGCTTTGTTTCCACATTAAGGAGATGTACTTAAATGCTTAATTGGAAGAAAGCACAAAAATACCATTTCCACAGTAACGCTAACGTGCTGACACTGCACACAGGTACATCTGTATATTATTATTTCTCCTTGTTATTCTTGCATCGTATTTTGTCTTTTCTTCTTCTTCTCCTGACAGGAATGCAAACCCACTGCTGCCCTCAGCAGAAGCACAGCACAGTGACAGTGCTCACTGCAGGCCACCAGACACACAGCAGCCTCTCCCTGGTTTTGGTCCTGGCAGCTCTGCCTGCAGGCCAGGTGTGCTGTGTTGGGCTGGGCTGTGTTCCATCCCCTGCCTGCCCCTGCGTCCACCTTTCCTTCCGATGGAAGTCACGGCACATAGCATGGTGGTATGCAACCAGATCTGACAGTAGGGATGCAGCAGTAGTAGTTTAATGTTCTTGGTTTTTGTTTTTTTAAATAAATTATTTTATTTTTGCTATTTTCTGAGCTTCAGAAGCTGTGACAGCAGCACTGGGCTAACTGCATTTGTTGGCTTTGCTCTTGTTTAATAATAGCAACACTGAGCTGTTTATTTTTCACTCCATGGATATGGAGATGTGTGAATGAAATTTCATCTCAAAAAATTTTCAAACACAAAGTAAGCAAATTTTGGAAAGGAAATGGAGTGATATAGGGACTAAGAGGGAGATGAAAGACAAACAGAAAAGTGAAATGTCAGAACTTTGTTGTGGACTTGGAAAAACTAAATATGGAAATTCTCGTAAGTATTAGCATAAGACTGCAAAAGTACGTGTTTGAGAGGCACAGAAAATGTTTACTGAAAGATCATATGTACTATATGTGAATCTGCCTCCCCCTCCTTCAGATAATATGCTATTTTATGCCTTTTAGCACTACTAATTGTCAACTGATGCAGGAGAGATCATCAAGAACCATGTTCCTTCTTGCTACAAAGGAATGTGTTTCCCTTGAAATGAGAAACTAACCTGTTTCCCAAGTATACCACAGTACTGCTAAGGACCTTGCTGTAGCTAAACTGATTTAACCACATGTAAAATTGGACATACACAATCCACAAATGAACAACCACAATCTGAGTCCCCAGATTAAAAAAAAAAAAAAAAAAAGTGTTTTGCTGCACAATGAGAAAGGTTGTGATTTGTTCCTATGGTTAACTACAGGGCTCCTAATTCAATACACAGCTTTCGCTAACTTTGATAAGAACAGGGTTTTATGCTAAAACTTCCACAGAGCGTAAGGAATTATTAAGGACAATGTCAAGCTCCATGCTACAGTGTCACATTATTTTGTATTTACCAGCAGGCAGAAGAGGTGAATCTGGCTGTGCAATCAGTGAGATTTGGTTATTAGGCCTTTTGATTTTCTTGCGAGGCAACATTAAGAAGCAAGGGAATTCCATCACCGTAAGTGCTTTGAAATCAAACTCCAAGTAAACATAAGTAATCCAATTTGAAAACAAATTGATACAGGTCTGTAAGTCATACATCGGGTTTGCATCTCTTGTTTCCTTAACACTTTGGTAATGTAGGTGATTAATTTGGGGAGTCAGGAGGATGCTTGAACCATAGGGAAATAATACCAAACATGGCTTTATTTCCCTATGTTATATTCCTAAAGGATACACTTGTGAGATTTGAAATGAGGTAGGCGCTCTTCAAAATATTTTTAGTTAAAAACATTAACATGCAAACTTTTGTAGGTAATGTTTACAAGGAATGGAGAATTATATCATGATAAAATATCAGTAGCAAAGAACAAGCTGAAGGTTAACTGCAGAGATTTTGAAATTTCATTTTAGCATATTTGGACAGGCACGCATTTTACTGGTTTGCAAATAAACTACTTCTCTAAATAAAAGTTTTTGGTTAAAAGTGACCGCTCGGCTCAGAAGAACACTTACCTTGGTCCTCTAAAGGCATATCAACAATGACTTGGTCACTGTATTTTCCATGCAGACCATTAGAGCAAACAGCAACTATCTGAAGAACATAACTTGTATTGGGCAGCAGATTATTTAGAATAGCTCCCTAAAAGAAAAAACATGTTTAATCATTTACTTGCAAATACGTATCAAATATTTGGAAATGTTAACATTTTTTCATAGCACATTGTTCATATGAATCACGAAGGTCCTTCTGTCCTATGACTCTAACATGCACTCTTCACATTTTACTGTCAAAAAATACTTGTCAGGGAACTTTAAAAAATGGTGAACTTTTAAATGCAGAATACCAAAGTGCACACCTGTTTAACGATGAATACTAGTTTAGATAATCATTTTAGATAACATTACCACTGATAAGCTTATGAATATTTGAAGAGGCTAATGAGAACAGATCACATTAGTGAAATACCATGAAGCAGTAAATCAGTAACTTAATACTTATAGTGGTACGACTGTACAGAATCTAATTAGCTGCTAGCGTAGGTAATTCTTTGCAGACCAGTGAGCAATGAAGTACAGATCACTGTTAATTGACTAAGGGGTTTATGGCTAAAGAGCAATGAGCTTGACATGGTCATATACTTTCGGGAAAACTATAGGCAAATCAGAACAGAACTCCAAGAAATTTCTTTGCCTGTGGCCAAAAGAGGCTTTTCTTTTTTTTTTTTTTTTCCTATTTTTAATTGTCTCTGTAGCTTCAGAGCAAAAGAGACAAGCACAGCTTTTGTAAGCTGCAGCCAAATTTTTTTATTAAATTAGCTCCCAGCTACCTAAACCCTTAGAATAATTAATGGCTGCTTTGTCATCACCGCTCTCAATGAAACTTGAAGAGTTCACAGTTACCAAGTCCTGATACCCATCTGTCAGAAACTCATGCTTAGTCTGGTCTTCTCCATCCAACTGTTGATAAAAGACAGCAAACTTCTCAATCATGGTATCATACACAACACGAGGTCTTTCCCATGTAACCAGAAGACTGGTATAATTCTTTGGATCAGATTGGACATTTTCAGGTTCTGAGCTGCAAACTGAAAGAAGGACAATAAAGAACATGATACTTATTAAATGGTAGAAATTACTCCAAAGGTCTTGATCCACTTCCCATCAAAATCATTTAATGTCTTTAATGGGCCTCATTTTTAGTTTTCTATTAAAATATCTGAGACGGCATGCACTATCAAAAGATACTGAGTCCTGACACTAGTTAAGCAAAAGCAAGTTAATTTGGGACTTCTTTCCCCCTCTTTTTAATATTGTATTTTGAGAAAGACTTGTGTTCAGTTTCTAGTAGCTTTAGAAGGGCTGCACACTCTCCCAACAGCTACAACAGATTGGAATATGTAACAGATTCTTTCTGAAGATTGAAGGTAAATATATCATACTTGAATTCTGAACCTTTTAGTAGAAGAGATGAAAGACAAACATGGAGGGATAAGAATGCATAAGATTAGCTGGTAGCTATTTCATTTGACTACATTTCACTATCTAAACAGCCACTGAAGAAGTCCAGTAAGAGGCACCAAAAGAGTCTGTGGATGCAATCTAGACCAACAGGTCTGAGTCTCCTCCTCATCTCTTGCCCTTTCACACCACCTTCCAACCAGAACCTCCTTTGCCTTCATTTAGCTTAGGTAGAACTGACTTCCAAGAGGGAGGTTGAAAGAAGTGCAGAAGAAGAGGTATGAGGCACTTTGAGCTTGGCAAAATGAGAATGCTTTCCAGACATTGCCAGCCTGCTCCTATCATCATGTTTTAAGCATTGCCCTGGATATCCGAGCTTGTTGCAGTTCCAAGTTCACTCATGCACACCTTCTTGGTAAGCCTGGACCTTGCACTCCAGACAAACTCTGGACAGGTAGCTATTTTTGCATTTCTTCCAGTTTTCCCCCAGTACCACATTTTTCATCTTATTCAAATAAGCTGAATCTTCTGATACATCTCTAGATATATCGAGATGTACTGATTACCAGTGCGCCAGAAATGTGCTGAGACTTTGTCATTTGGTATTTAAATCACACAGGTACCTGTGTGTAGCTTGAAAGTAATATACAAGGTCAAGGTAACCTCTGTGAAAAAATTGCACCAGCAGAAAATGCAAAGTATTTATCTTAAGGTCACTGAAAAATGACTGACAGATACAAGAAAATATAAACCAAAACAATGTACAGCTGAATCATTCAGGCTGAGATCATTTTCCTTCCTTGCTTTCGTCATCTCTGTTAGTGTCACACATAGAACTGATGAATGTCAAAAGTCTTCTCTAATTTTTGGTTCCCAACTGCAAAGAGATCACAGCAGCCAGATATGAGCTGGTATAGTGGAATGAAAGCCAGGGGTCCCTAACATTTACTGTTATAAATCCCTCCTCTTACATGTTTGAAACTGCAGATGCTAAGGACTGTGATTGAAATACTGAGACTAGAATTCTGTCTCTGTCCTAGTTTTTTGGTATTTCCTATACTTGGGCACACCCATACTGAATTTCCTTTTCTATTTGCTTTTATATGGACTGAAAAGGAATATTATTCAATCTACTTTTTCATTTATTACCTTATCTCTATTGCTATATTTTGTCTATTAAGCAAGTCAAAATTATTGATGAGAATACATGAAAAATATCATTTAATTAAATATTACACATGAAAATGTCTGTAAGGATATTGCAAAGTTTTAACTGGACTTTTGCACAAGTAATTAAATGTTCATTCCCTATTTGTAATAAAGCAGGAAACATTTCTAGAATCTGAGAACACGTTTAAATCAAACTGCGAGTATCTAGTAAAAAGCAGGGAAAGTTATCCAGCTAATTAGGAAAGCAAGAGTTGTAGATTCTTTGGAATTCCCATAAAGGAAGCAAACGTCATGATACTACAACGTCTTTTGCCTGACAGTATCACAATTTGAAGATACTCCATTAACTTGGCAATTTACCACTCGAACACTAGAGGGCATTCAATACTCAGAATTTTGAGACAGAAATTTCTGCCAGCCTGTATGCAGGTGGGAAGTTCTGCAAATTCTGGTTTGATTTAATAGAAGATGTGCGATTTTTGCGTGCCTTAACAAGAGGAAGTGTTGGTTTGTGTAATTCAGTTTGAATTGTACAGCTTACCAGGCTCTGAATCTACTGCCCTACTTATTTGTCATATCATTTTTATTCATTACACTGAACACTCCTAATTGGAGTAAGCAAAGAGCAAACTAAAAATAAAAAAATAAAAAAAATGAAGTTGTATACATCTCATTCCATAACTAAAGCTTGTCCTCCCAGTTCATATCCACGAGAGGGCACAAGGAAATCATTAGACAGCAAAAATGAATCCCTTCTTAATTCTGAGCATTATGTATACCATAATTTTGTTTATTTTATTTATTTATTTAGATTTTATATATTTTAATATATATGTATATAATATATATAACTTATACATATTTCGATAAATCAAGCCACTATTATATTTTGCAAGGTATTTAAAATAACTCTCCAAATATTTTTTTGTAGTATACCTGCCAAACTTTTCCTTGCTCCAAACTCACACTGCAAACTTCTCTCCACTGTCATTTTTCCTCCCTTCCTCTTTTGCTCACCAGAGTGAATCTGGGTCTGACATTTTCGACTGTGCTCAAATTAGCTATTACAGAGCATTTAAAGCTGGAGGGTTGGTGTCTCCAATACAATTTATTTCACTTTGACTCTTTTCCATGTTGCCCTGCCAGGTATGTTTTTCCAAGGAAAGTGAAGTTCTTCTCCCAGTTGTTTTCACTCTTATGATGCTTAGCCTCGTTCCTCTGAGCAGCAGCCAGCAATATGCCTGCATAATAGCTGTGTGCACCTTGTTGTACACCTGTTGTAGTCCTTCCCAAGCTGTTGTCTCTTCCCCCTCTTCAAATTTTTGTTTGTCATCCTGCCTGTGCTCTGCTCTTGTCTTCATCCATTTTCTTTCTCAAGGGCTTGGGAAAAGCCAGGAGGTCATGTATCAACATCTCTAATCAAAGACTTCTGCTCTGATGCTGATTTCAAAAATCTGGGCAAAGGGACTACAAGGAAGGAAGTCACAGACATTCAGCTGATTTTTTTATTTTTTTTTTTAGTCTCAAAACAGCAAAATACAGTTCATGAGAAGTCAGAGGCCTACTCAAGGCTCTGCTGGGCTTGAATTCAGATCTCTGCTTTACATACATGAGTGTTCAGTAGCTGGTTTTGAATATCGTACTCTAATGCACCTATCTTTGCCTGTTCTGAAATAAATTGTGAAATAAAACACAATCCATCCAGCTTGGAAGTTTTTCATGTCAACTGAATTGCATCATTGAGGAAGATAAGATTCATTAGCATCATCATCAGAAAGTCTGTACAGTGTATAAGTTGATCAAATTTAACTTATTTAAATATGAATAGAAAAAAAAACCCTGGATTTTATCTTTCTCTGAATTTTATACAAAGTATTACTGAGACATAATTGGATGCCTTTTCTTTTTTTTTTACCCTATATTTGCTGATTACATTTTCTTTAAGTTGAATCTGGGTTCAATTTTTTTTTTTTTTTTTTTTTTTTCATTCAAATCCAGGTTTTCAGCTGTGGAATCACTGCACTTTGTTTAGACATCAATGACTTTTTAGATCCCATGTTACATTCCATTTCCTCACCAAGAATGTCCAGATGGGGATTTTGAAAACTTCTAACAACATTGCTGAAACTAATTTTATATGCAGATCAGAGAGATACTCTTAGTCCATCTAGTGAAACGCAGCTTTATTTGAGAAATAAATGAAGTAATAACAAAAATAGATCACATACTGAATTCTACTGCCTAGTGAAAGCCTACAACGCATTCAACAGGAGAAAATTGGGATGCTACCATTCTGTAATCTCAAAATCATTTTTCATGTGGTGACTTGAAACTAACTTGTTTCAACAGGTTACCTGTCCAAATCCAGTCTTGACATTTCCCATGAGTTGTCCAAATGTATTTCAAAGGTCTCTCATTCTTGTTGTTGACTAAAGAATAAGGACTTGAATAAAGAAGACATAAGCCTATTTCCTCCTGGAAGTGTTCATGCTGTAGTCTTCACATCTCAGCACGTAAATTCAACAGTTCTTAAGGATTTTAATTTAACTTCTATCAAAAGGTAGGGGAAAAAAGCAATGATCCTCTGATTTTTACATGAAAAGAATTCTATAATGGCCTTTTTGTTTGGATGTATGAACGTACGCATATAAGATGTTGCATTTATTCAGTGTTTATTAATGTTAACAGAAATGTGACTATATATACAGGGAGACCTGAAATTTAAGAGATTTCTTTCAGTCCTTCTATGTCTACAATCAAACTAGAATTTTTAATCTACAGTTAGATACCTTGAGTACATAGTTTGGAATAAATACTGTATGTGTTTGTGATGTCACTGCAAGACACTTTTTTCTTAAACTTCATAGACTGAAACCCCTTTGTTCTGTGTTAAACAAATCTACAGGTTAATTGAATAAGCTTGTTAACCTACTCTGAAACTGGACCTAGAGCAAATGCAAAATTCTCTGCTCCTAAAACGCTAAGTATGAAATTTTAACTACACACAAGCATTTGGGATGCACTGCATAGCGATTCATCATTACATGAAGTTGAATGGCCTTCCAATTTTAAATGGTATAACTCAATGAAAAAAGGATCCTAATATCTTTAGGTTGGACATTCTCTCCTTATCTGAATGGATATTATGCTCACAGGCAAAATATCAGATCCCAGTATCTACCTTCATTGTAGTGCAGAAATAAATGATGATTCCTTTTATTTTTCTTGGCTCACGAGTGTGAAAATCATTTACTTCCATACGCTGTCCTGGTCACATAACTTTCACAGGCTTCCCCAAGGTTTTAGGTAAAACAGAGGTCAGATTCTGGCTTTTGGGATTCTCTACATCTATCACTTTCTTAGTAGTCTATGTGAAATGAATTTGGTGATGTCACGTTCTATTGAAGAGGCATGCATGTTATACAACGAAGAACCAAATGGGTTTGTAAAACAAAATCCTCCTGCAGCCCCTGAAAGGGCAGCTTTGTTTAGGTCTGAAACACATTAAAAGGGCAGCGCAAGAAAGCTTGAATTGACGTGATCTTCACTGAACGTTTGGTCGAGACAAGCATTTAATTTTCCACTCCATTTAATCTGACATGTTTTATGATTGCCAGTTTTTTTTTTCTTTGAAGTGATAGATTTATGAATAATAATACACTGTGCTACTTTCCACACAATTTAAAATGAGTATTTTCATACTAGGATGACTCTCTTACTGAAAATCGTCTTTCAACCCACGAAAAGAGGAGTGACTATTCAGTAAATACCTGCTTCATGAATTTCTTCTTGTCCAGTGTAAGAGGAAAACACTTGCCCAGAAAACTTATATCGCTGCTCTCGAAAGTTGTTCTGCAGATAGTCCATCAGCATCACATAGCCAGACTGCTGCATCGTAAGGACTTCACAGAACACTGCTAACTAGAAGAGGTGATAAAAAAAGAAGTTGGAAGTCACAGCAAATCAATACGCTTCTTCTAAGAGGCAGAAAAACCCTGGAAAAATGGCACTGGGAAATTATCCCTGTTGAGTTTCCTCAGAATGCATTGAATTTGCTAGTCTGTATCTACTGGTTTACTCCACCTGCACTTCACAAAATCACGGAATCACAGAATCACAGAATTGTAGGGGTTGGAAGGGACCTCCAGAGATCATCGAGTCCAACCCCCCTGCCAAAGCAGGTTCCCTACACCAGGTCACACAGGTCGGCATCCAGGCAGGTCTTGAACATCTCCAGAGAAGGAGGCTCCACCACCTCCCTGGGCAGCCTGTTCCAGTGCTCCGTCACCTCACTGTAAAGAAGTTCTTGCGCACATTTGTGCGGAACTTCCTATGCTGCAGTTTCCAGCCATTTCCCCTTGTCCTGTCTCCACTCACCACTGAAAAGAGTCCAGCCTCACCATTCTGCCCCCCACACCTTAGATATTTATAGACCTGGATCAGGTCCCCTCTCAGTCGTCTTTTCTCAAGGCTGAACAGACCCAGTTCACTCAGCCTTTCCTCATAGGAGAGATGCTCCAGGCCCTTCACCATCTTTGTGGCCCTCCGCTGGACTCTTTCCAAGAGATCCCTGTCTTTTTTGTACTCAGGAGCCCAGAACTGGACACAGTACTCCAGATGAGGCCTCACCAGGGCAGAGTAGAGGGGGAGGATCACCTCCCTTGACCTGCTGGCCACGCTCTTTTTAATGCATCCCAGGATGCCATTGGCCCTCTTGGCCACGAAGGCACACTGCTGGCTCATGGCCAACCTGTCATCTACTAGGACACCCAGGTCCCTCTCTGCAGAGCTCCTCTCCAGCAGCTCATCCCCCAGCCTGTACTGGTGCATGCAATTATTCCTCCCCAAATACAAGACTCTACACTTACTTTTGTTAAACCTCATCCAGTTTCTTACTGCCCAGCTCTCCAGCCTGTCCAGGTTTTGCTGAATGGCAGCACAGCCTTCAGGCGTGTCAGCCAATCCTCCCAACTTCGTATTATCAGCAAACTTGCTGAGGGTGGCCACTATCCCCTCATCAAGGTCATTGATGAAGATGTTGAACAAGACCAGACTTCTCAACCATTCTTCTGACAGAGCTATGCTCTATTCACTGTTCAGACAGGGGAATGCCAAAGGAGCATTTTTTTTCCTGTCTGGACCAGAGGTCCAGATACATTGGAGAGATTACCTTTGATGACTGCACAAAAAACTTCATACTAGAGAAAAAAAATATGCCAGACTGTTGGGCTGGTAATAAATGGCATGAGTTTTTACCATATGCACTGTAACTGATTTTCTCTGTTATGATGTATATTTGTTTTATTTTGATACATTAAATGAATTACCTGGTGCTCCGAAATACTAATAGTATCTTTGAACACAATCCATTCAACTGTTTCTGAGCAGGGAGGAGTTGATAAAGACCCATTGTAAGTGTAATATTTGTCTGTTGCATTCGGTAAAAGGTTCAGCAAAACAAATGGTTCTAAGGCAGCCTGTTTTCCTGAAAAGGAAACCAAATGTTTTTTAGAGTAAAGTAGTAATGAATAAATAGAAATCACACTATCCCAACGAGTTCCTATTATGGAACCTCACTAATTTTGAGGCTATTTGGAATCGAATTTTCAGAGAGGGTAGCGTAAGAATAAATTGCCGCACCTTTTCTATTTAGATTGAATATTGTTCAATACAAATTTTGCTTATTTGGAGAAGTATAATGGGTTATTCCAGTAGCAAATATGGGAACCAGCATATTGTTCACAAAATCTTGTTCAACTAAGTGTTCTAGTAATTGTCCGGGATGCCAAATTCTTGCCTCACTCACGAACTTCAAAGAAAAAAATGTTAAGCCTTTCTAGTTGATCTCACCACATGACTTCGAGCTCTCCCTGAATTGTTGAGTTTCTCACAGGACCTTAACTTCTACAGAAAATCTCTGCTGGTGGAAACTGTCACAGTGACAAATCTGAGAGCTGCAGTACTCAGGTCTGCAGAAGCAGAAATTCATTAGATATGGGAGTTTTAAAATAGCGACAATAACAGCTTTACACAAAGCAGAGAAGGATGCAAAGACCTTCTCCAGGAGAGTTATGACCTTTCTGTTTATTCTCCTTTGAAAATAATATCACTTCTTTCAGGTCAGCAGTTTACCAGGTACCTTTGTCTGCTGGGAGCAAGCATGATGAATTGCTCAGTCCATCCACAGAAAGCTAAATCTGTGCTGATATGGCAGTAGGGTCCAGCACCAAAAATTAGCAGAAATGGTACCAATTTCCTCTTGACAGAATTTTTCAGTTTATGACAATTATCAATGATCTGCCTTATGGATTGGTGTATCCAAAACAATACTTGTTTTTCACACTGTGGAGTACTGCAGATCCTCATACACTTTATTTCTATTCAAAGTAACTGATTTTAAATGTGTATTAATTTGTTGTCTATTACTTTTAGAGTCCTAGGTGGATTTCTGACCTGTCCTTGTCTTCACAGTGAATTATATTAGCAGTTTATTACAGATCATTGATGCTTTTGTTTCTGCACAGTGACTGTTTCAGAGTTGACATTTGAAAGCTAGTTCTTCCCCTCTCTAATCCACATATGATGAAAAGGAAACTTTTAGCAATGCCAAGCAAACACATCCTTTCATTCCTCATGTAAACATCTTTAGACAGTAAGTACCGTGATTATCTGATAATGTTTTTTGCTGGTATATTTTTCTTAGAGTAAGAATGAATGGTCAGCCTATGCTAGGTAGAGGTTTGGGGACATGAAGCTTTAGATTCTGCAAGTTTGTATTTTAAAATGCCTTTGAATATAATAAGCAGCCTAGATTTTAAAGGCAAACACCTACAAAGAATTAAGAAAAAGAGAAACTCTGTCTGGAAGGAATAGGACACCTCTGCACAGCTTGGGAATTCAGCAGCTGGGATTCAAATACATATAGTACAGATGTGACTGATAAGGACAGATCATACATAAGGCAGGCAAGGACAGACTGTGTGCTATATGTTTTTCTTTGAGATGAACAACTTGATTTACTTGTAACCTGAATTTTGAGAGCTCATTTGCATTTCATCCAAGAAAACCATATTCTGCTCATTGTTGAAATGCTATGTAGTGGCTGTATCTTGAATCATTCTGTTGATAATTTACAGCTCCTATGCAAAGCTGTAGCACAACATCCATCTTGATGTATTACTCACTTTCCTTTGTATTTCACAGAAGATGGCATACAAAGATAGTGAATTCTGACAGATTTATATGTCTCTCTCTTCTGCCTTTGCAATCTGTGGAAGTTGCTCACTCATATTTATTGAACAATATTAGCTCTCAGAAGACAAACAATTTAGTGACATGCATTTGAAAATTTTTAAAATAGTGACATTAATAGCCTTTAACACTTTCAACTCATTGATACCAATGTGCTTTACGAAACTGAAGTATGGTTACATGCAGGAAAACTGATGCAATGCTGGACATTTTGTCAGTCATGGCCAACCATGGAACAAGAAAATGGCCCTATGCAGAACATCAGTCTTTTGTGTTTATTCTTCTGTGAAGCCACTCTGAAACAGAGTTAGAAAGAGAGGTCCATGTGCTTGGGGTAAAGCCGTAAGTAATTCTAAAGCAGCGTCAGCAGTATAAATAATGCCAGTACAGATCTAATATAATTGAATCATTTCAAATTCACATAGCAGCTACTGAAATAAGCATTTCTCTCCACTGGGTCTACAGAATACTAATATTCAGGTTCAGTGTTTGTAAAGCACATCTTGGAAGGGTTCAGCAGGGTTATTTGGCTTCCAGCCACATACAATACTCCAGAAATCTATGCCTAAGAATATTCATGGGATAAAACAGACATTTCACGTGACTTTTAGCATTTTAAAAGTTGCAAGTTCTTTGGGATAATTATATTTACCCATCTACACTTACTAGTGTTGTTACAAATATTCAGTCTTGAAGTAAATTAAGTCTTATTTCTAACAAAATACATGCATCTATGCTCTTGAGAACTGTGATCCCCAATGCCTTTAAGCTTTCACAATTATTCTGAAATTGAATTTAGTCTAACCATTAATCAATAAAACATGGTAGCAGACTTACCAAAACGACTAACACTATCTACTCCATTAATGATTGGAATATAATCCGGATTATCTTCTACTCCAATCTGTTAAAAAGAAATTGCATTTTTTACATCACACTTCTTGAAAAAATAAAATTGAAGGTTGCAGTTTACCACCAAAATTATACATGGGCTAAACAGTGCATAAATATTTGCAAATCTGCTTTTTTTTTGGTGAAAATAAATAAGAAGAATATATGCAAATTTTTAACACAGTGATCACACATTAAAACCCTTTAAATTCAGTTTGAACATCTGCTGTTTCAAAGCTTGATAATGACACATAGACTTTTTTTTTTTACCTCAAACAAAATTGATAAAGCTCTTAACTTTCCATTTCCTTTAATTGCCTCTTCGAAGTCTGTAAATAGATCTCCATCATAGCAGTAGATTTGCATCTGCAAAAAAATATATATTAACATGTATTACATACACAAAGACAATCAATGCAATTATTTTTATTCCTAGTTTGTGTATAAATGTTCAACCAACCAACTTAGCACAAATACATGGATATTGATATACTGTATATTCTGATATGAATATACAGAACAGAATTAATCAACTGTTACCTATCTAAAAAGTTCTACACTGGAAAATCATTAAGTCTGGAAGAGCTGTCCTTCAAGGAGAACATCATTATCCACAGGCAATACAGCAAGCCTGGACAGCCAGCTGATACCGTATATTTAACCTACAGTACTCAGAGGAAATCAGTCTTGCAATCAACTGTAAAACACAAATAATAAAGCAGGCTGTCCCTCCTGCACCTGCCTTGCAGTAAGCATAGAGAAACACTGGTAATAAAAGATTTCCTAGGATTCTGTGCCCACATTTGCTGTCATGGGCATTGGGTTTGTTGCAGCCCTTCCTCTCTAACTTTGGACTGGGAAATCTGTAATGCCAGGTCACTGACATGAAGGGGACAGTCTTCTACTGAGAGTGACTTTTCATGTGATGGTGGATGAGGTAAATCTTCTATTAGATGTCTTGGTGGGATAGGTAGAGTATGAGTGGGAACTTTAAATAGCTGTGAGGTAAAAAAAAAATAACACCTCCCAGGGAAAGCTCCTAGCTCACAGCTCTCCTTAGAAAACAGGAGAACATTGATACTAATGCTTTGCTTTAACACTGAAATGCAAAGTTTCTGAAGTGTGGAGCAGCTCCTGGCTCTCAGTGAAGCCTGGGTTTGAAAAATCAGTTTCAATCTCAAATACTCCACCACTGGGGCACAAGATGGGCCAAACCTGTGGGGGCTTAAGCTTTGTCAGATTAGCAGGACCAACTCCCAGTGTCATCACAGAAGACACAGGAAAATGCAGGTTAGACATTTTCAATGGACTAATGCCTTACAGTACAAGTAAGTAAGGCATTTAAGTACATCACTTAAATATTACTAATTTGGATTGAAGTGATGATTAAATTCACCAGTAAGCTTTAATTATGTGATAAACAAAGGTGCATAGTAAACAATGTTACTTTTTGCAGAATGACAAATTCTCAAAATCTATTCTATACTCTACCTCAAGAGGAAATTTTTGTCCTTCCAAGCTATGTTCTGATCCATCCGATGACGCATTGCATTTTCCCCAGTGAAAAACGATCTTGCTTGCTTTGAATACAGTATCTAAGCCACCTCCACTTACATAGTAATCATTTGTCAGGTTAATCTCCACTAAACAAAGAGAAAGAGAGGAAAACAAACACAACAGTGTCAATATAAAAGCTAGTCAAGGCATCTATGACTCTTATATTTCAGAACAGGTGCAAAAAGGCAAATATGATATGCTTATTTTATTATATTTTATACATAATTTGTCAGGAAGTTGGTCATTTGAAGTAAAAAATGTATTAATTCCTTGTTAATTCTCCCCTGGGAATAAGTGATGATGGCTCTTAAGCTGGACAAAATTGTATGCAAACTGCAGATGGAAATGAACTTTTGTCTGCTGGAGGGAATTAGCAGGGTGGAATAGACCAAACCCCTACATTTGGCTTTTCCACACGTAATGACTGTGAATTGTTTGATCTCTTGTTAAAACAGCACTAATGAAGTTCAATTCCATTACATTTATCTTCTCAAGACTTTGAAAAGAATTTTAACTGGAGAGCTTTGCAGTTCTTATAGTATCTGAATTGTATTGCAGAAGGAAGAGCTCACACCAGTTTTATGGACTTTAAAGAATGTTTTTTTGGGTATCTCTTTAAAAGAAAAACATATTTTTTATCTCAGTTAATAGAGCAAATGGGAAATAAGCGATTTGTTGAGTAGTATGTATGAAGTATATGATGACACCAAGAACAGAAAGTAGGAACAATAGCACTAAAAACAACCAAACTGACCTCCCAAGGTACAAAAGATCAGCCCAGACCATCAGCTGCAGGAACTGCAGGGCCTGAGTGTGAAGGTGAGCATAGTGGATGCAGGTATGCCCAACTGAATGCACTTTTCAAGCAAGTGGTGAGGTTATGAGAGGAAGTCACCAGTCCACATAGGATCCAGGAATCTGAGCAAGAGACTGATGAGTTGCACTGTACGTGGTATCTAGACTCTGAGGGTGGTAAAGCAATGACACAGATACCCAGAGAAGCTGGGTAGCTCCCCATCCCTGGAAGGCCAGGTTGGATGGGGCCCTGGCCAGCCTGAACTGGTGGGTGGTAAACCTGCCCATGGCAGGGGGTTGGAACTTCAAAGGTCTTTAAGGTCCATTCCAACTCAAGTCATTCTCTGCTTCTATGAAAATTAAAATAAAATAAAATAAAATAAAATAAAATAAAATAAAATAAAATGTGACTGATCCAGGAATTTTCTGGGCACTGCTGTGAGACAAAGATATAGTTGTTAGAAGATGCCTTCCTTCATATCAGCACCTGAAACAAGTTATAGTGCATCCACGAAGCTGCGTTTAGATGCTGCTATCCTAGATTTATAGCAAAGTGGTTGAAAAATATTTGTCTGGTAATATATTTGCCACCCTAAGCTTCTTTTCTGTAGCCACAGAATCACAGAATCATAGAATAGCTCAGGTTGGAAAAAATCTTAATGATCATCAAGTCTAACTGCAACCTAACCACATTACACTGACTCTAACAACCCTTCACTAAATCATGTCCCTGAGCTGTGAATCATCTCTTTCTAAAATACATTTTTAAGATAGAAAAAACAAATCAGACTACAAAAGCACCTGTTTCTCTTTTTTTCTTTTTTTTTTCTTTTTTTTTTTTCTTTTTTTTTAAATTTGAAAAAGGGAGTTGAAGTGAATAATTCATACATGTGTCTACATTACAGGTGTTGATGTGTGGATGAATCCCACCACCATTAGATTTTTGAAACTACAACTGGTCCTCGAAGTGCTTCCAGATGAGTAAGTAATTTATTTGTATTTAAAAAAAAAAAATGATTTCTATATATTCATTTAAAATTCTAGACACTAAGTAATAGCTATCATTACTTTGTAGAAAACAGTAAATTACTGTTCAGCTTAGTGAAGTGCTCATGATGATATGATAGTAATGCTGTGATTTCCTTGGCTCTATCTGGAACATAATTTTCATTTGTGCTTTAGTGGCTTTCTATTATGCTTGGCTATAGTCATCAATTGTGTAGTTTTTTTTTCTATTATTGTTATTAAAATGATAAATTCAGAACACAAAGACTATGGAAAAGGAAAATGAAAAAAGTGTAATTAAAAATCCACGGCTTGTTGTCCTCTATCACTATTAAGTACTCTAAACTCCAAACATGAAACATGATATTTTACCTGTTTTGCCATTGTTGCGAATGAAAGTATCTTCTCCAGTTTCCTTTTCCCACCCATGGAATTTAAGTTTCTTTAGATTCACATTCACTTGGGTAAGGTCTTCATCTATATTAATAGGAGATTGTTTGGCACCATTGCAAGCTGAATATTTTTTTCCCCAGTCCGTTTGGTTCAGAGTTCCTAGAAATCAAAACACTGCAGTAAATACATTTAAACCTAAACTGATATCCATACATTTTTCAATGTGAGTAATTCAAAACACAGTCTGCAATCTGCAGTCAGAATACCTTCTCTTCTTTGGTCTCATCTGCTGCAACACTCTGCACAAGTACTGTTGAATTCTACCTTAAAGAATTAGGTCACTTTTGATGATTTTAGATATCATACAGAAATGATTATGAATCTCCAGGGAAAGCAGAACACAACAAAAATGCCTCAAGCACAACATACAGAAATAATAAATGAAATGAGAGAGAAATAAGCTTTTAGATGAAAGAAACTGTCATTCAAAAAGAATTTGAAGTTACTGCAAAACCCTAATTTCTAAACAACTCTTTCATCACCCAAATGTCATCAACATTCCTTCTGCCTGATGAACTCAATCAGCCCAGAAGATTTTTAATAAATAAAAGTATGATCTTTAAAGTAATCCTTACAGAGACAGATAAGTGATTTTACTCAGCAAAAGGAGAAAGTTTGTGATGCTCTGATAACTGTCAGGAGGTCCTGTGCCACAGCAGGGCACTTTCTCCAGGGCACTGGATTACACAGACACAGGCACAACATACTTGAACTCCGTAAGAATTGAGCAGGTACTCTGCAGACCAGTGTGAGAAGTTAGCAGCTGCCCTGAGAATCTTTGGATTGTATATTACAGTAATATAAATTACACAGCATTTTGGTGGTGTATGCATTTGCACACATACAAATATTTTCTATTGACAGGGGATTTTGATGGCATTTAAATTAAACTAAATAAACTAATAAACTAATTAAAACCAAGTTTTGACTGTGGAGATATAAGAAAATATAGCTGCTTCAGTTAGCTTTCGCTTCCTATTAGTCACAAGTGAATATTAATGAATCCATTGCACACATTCAAATTCTATCATAGATGCTGAAATGAACCATGGCTCATTTACAGGCTGCTTTTTCACATCATGTCTGTCAGCGGAAGATTGGCTGTATTGCACCCCAGGCAAGGACAGCCCTCATACTGCACTCAGAAAACTCAGTGAGGGGAGAGGAGATGCAGGCAGACCTGTAACCATGACAATGGCAGTAATACAAGATGCTCATCTGGATAGTGAGCTACCTAGAAACATACCTGAGCTAAATAATTCAGCAAGGATCAAGTCAGGCCAGTTACCAATATCACCTTGCCACATCAGAAGTACTGCAGGTCAGATGGCGTGCTATTTACTTCTTTCAGTCAGGAACAGAAGAAACTGCTAGGCACAGTGGCCAAGCAAATAAAAAAGTTTCAGTCACAGTGTACTGAAACTGAATTTCCTGCAGGTGGGGATTAGAATCCTGATTAAGTGAGCAGCCTTTCCTTTGGGAAGGGCACACTGGTGGGCTTCCGGCTCATCCTCAAGTAATGTTTCTCCTGGGCATTAGCTGTGAGCTATAGTTTATAACCTGGACAAGCATTGCAATAACTTGATTTCTAATGTGATTTTTATGTGAACAGAGTATTATTTCACTTCTTATCTTTAAAGCTTCCCTTGAAAAATTCTGAGTTCAAGTCAACTTAAACTTGATGAATACGCTCAGGTAATCTATAAGAGAATTTTTAAGCAAATATTGAAGGCCTTTAAAACCAAAAAAGCCATTTTTACTTCAATATAAATTGAAATAATGAACTTTCAAAACAGCAAGTAAGGTTAGACAGGGAGAAATAACAATTCTCAGCTTTCCCTGTGCATCCTTGCAGACAGGCAGTTGTTTCTAGATCTACCTTCAGCCAACTCTGTGGCATTCCAAGCTGCTAGGTCAGGCCTGGCTGGCCACCCACTGCTGTCCCTCAGAATTAGGCTGCACTCTCCACTCTCATCTCTGTCTTTGTTCCTCTGTTCCCAAGGCTTCCAGAGGCTGTTGCTGTTTCAGGGCAATGCGTAGAGAGCTCCTTTCCTTCCACTGTCATACCTGCTCTCCTGGCTCACATGCAATCTCTTCTTCAGGATGTTATCACGACTCTCTACTCAGTATGCTTTTTCCTTATTCTGCTCCTTCCTCCATTAACATCAGGATTGATGGAAAATCCATCCTCCTCCCACCACCTGGGTACATTCTTCCAGATTTCTTCTGATGAACGTAAATATTTTTGACTTGCATCTTCCCTTTAAATTCCCTACTATCCTCTATCAAGTTCAACTCAAACAAATACATCAAATTTACAGAAACTATCATTTCCTTCCAAGTTTCCTAGTTAGAATCATAGAATCATAGAATCAGAGAATCACCAAGGTTGGAAAAGACCTGAAAGATCACCCAGTCCAACCGTTCACCTATTCCCAATAGCTCCTACTAAACCATGTCCCTCAACACAACATCCAGTCTTTCCTTGAACACCCCTAGGGTCGGTGACTCCACCACCTCCCTGGGCAGTCCGTTCCAGTGCCTGACCACCCTTTCTGAAAAGTAATACTTCCTGATGTCCAGCCTGAATCTCCCCTGCCGTAGCTTGAAGCCATTCCCCCTGGTCCTATCACTAATGACACGAGAGAAGAGGCCGACCCCCAGCTCACTACAACCTCCCTTCAGGAAGTTATAGAGAGCAATGAGGTCTGTCTCCCCTGAGCCTCCTCTTCTCCAGGCTGAACGTTCCCAGCTCCTTCAGCCTCTCCTCATAAGCCCTGTGCTCCAGACCCCTCACCAGCTTTGTTGCCCTCCTTTGAACACGTTCCAGGGCCTCAATATCTTTCTTGCAGTGAGGGGCCCAAAACTGGACACAGTACTCGAGGTGCGGCCTCACCAGTGCTGAATACAGGGGAACAATCACCTCTCTGCTCCTGCTTGCAACACTGTTTCTGATGCAAGCCAGGATGCCATTGGCCTTCTTGGCCACCTGGGCACACTGTCGGCTCATGTTCAGCCGAGCATCAATCAATACCCTCAGGTCCATTTCCTCTACGCAGTCCTCCAGCCACACCGCCCCAAGCCTGTAGCGTCGCCTGGGGTTGTTGTGGCCGAAGTGCAGGACCCAGCATTTGGCCTTGTTGAAACTCATCCCATTGGCTTCAGCCCAGCTCTCCAGCCTGTCCAGATCCCTCTGTAGGGCCTCGCTACCCCCAGGCAGATCCACACTTCCAGCCAATTTGGTGTCATCTGCAAACTTACTGAGGGTGCACTCGATGCCCTCATCGAGGTCATCAATAAAGATATTGAAGAGGACAGGCCCCAGCACCGACGCCTGGGGAACACCATTCACGACTGGTCGCCAGCTGGATTTGACTCCATTTACCACCACTCTCTGTGCCCGGCCCTCCAACCAGCTCCTTACCCAGCCAAGAGTGTACCCATCCAAGCCTCTGGCTGCTAGTTTCATGTTTCAAATTCCTGCTTTGCGACGTAGAACATAAATCCTTTCTCTTGGTAGCTGTTATCCGAGCATGAGCAAATAATATAACAAATCCCCAGCATGAAGCTAATTATAACATTAGTAATCTACATCCCAGAAGATAGTGCTGTGTCAACACTGTATCCCACCACCGCGTCCTGAGCCAGGGCACCTGGAGTTAGGATGGTAGGATGCCAGCTGTAGGCACCATGGTAATGTTGTGATTCAAGCTAAGAAGCTTCTTCATTCATTCTAGATGTGAGGCTTGTTATAAATATTGAGAGGAAGAAATGAGGGAAGCTGAAGGCCTGACGAGGTGAAGAACATTATTTCCTACCTCTCAGCTAGGCCTCAAACCTGTAATGTGAGCTTGCTACAAAGGTTTGATAATGTTCAGGCTTTTAATGTGTGGAAACAATTAAGTCAAGTGATTGTGATACAGAGATTCTCCTTTCATTGTTTATCCCTTACTGAAATCTTAGAACATCTCTGAATTTTTATGAATCCTCTATAAATTTTAGAATGATGACTTTTGTGTAATTGTAGGACACCACACACTTGCCTGTGCACACGGTAAGGAACTGATTTTTCTATCTTATGTATAGAAAAAATGCAAATACTTTTTCTGCCGCACTCTGGTTGACAAAAAAATTAAGCAAGTCTGTCCTTGTTGTATGACTGCTAGCTGAAATCATCCAAGGATAAATGAAAAGTGTTTTTGGCTGCAGACGACAATAGTCTTCCAGCTAAGACAAATGAACTGAATGCCCAAAATCAATGCTCCTGCTGGAAAATCTGAATAGGTATTTGATGACTTTTAATCCTTTTTCTTCTTTTTGGTCCAGCAGGTGTTGCTTTTTTTTTGTTTTTTTTAAATTGCTTATAGTTGCAGAAATACAGGTGACCTCAGTACTGAGAAATGCAGGCAATATGGAAGATATTTCATAGGAAAAAAAGAACCTTTGTATCAAGGAATGAGACGTGTACATTTTGTCAGTCGTGCAAAACTACATTTACTCAGTAGTTGCTGAGATGCTGCAGCATTGATCAAAAGCTATGCAATTAAATGTAAAGGAAATCAATAACAGGCTCCATATTGGAGAAGGAACATGGGGAATTTCAGAAAGAATGGGAGTTCACTTGTGATGATTCAGATTATGTTTGAATAGCACAATATGTGTCTATGCATATATCATGTTCTGCAGACCAATACAAATGGATTTATACAGCGAAACAGTTGGGGCTGAAGACCAGATGTCCACACCGTACATTTTTCAGAAGGCTTTTAATTCAGCCTATCTCTGGTTCCATGGTAAATGCCCACTGGCAGATGAAATGTATTTGGTATATCGTTTCAGTGCTTCTCCTGTTTAGTAGCAGTTGGGATGAATCCACGTCATGCATTCTGAGACAACTCTGCCTTGGGAAGCAAAGCTGGGAAAGTAGGGAGCAGCCATAAGATTTCCTCCAGAAGTCCAGTCCCAATCTAATCCAAAATGCTGATGTAAATGCATCCAATGCAGGAAGCAGGTGGTGAAACTGCTGTGGTTTACATGACTTGCAGAAAGCCAAAGTAAAATCATAAGAACCAAATGTTTTTAAACAAGAGCAGATTGTT